CGACGAAATGGATAATACCAAGCGCAAGATGGCATGTTTTGAGGTGGCACTGATCCGCTTATATTGCTAGGATTAGCTTGCCCGAAGAAAGCTAGAGTGTTCCCCCACATGGAAGGCCAGGAAGGATACATGAACTGTACGATAGGCGATCTTCCGTATCCGATAAACCGGCGACCGGTTTTTGGTGATTCCATCTCTGTGGTTGCAGTATTAATATTTTGGTCAGCCTCAGGCCTCACTGTCTTGGCAATCTATACAGGATTGAGTACCAGTTATGCAAGCGAAGAAAGTGTAGTTAGAACATGAATCAATTTTCGACTCCCGCAGAGGTTGCAGATGTCAAACCTGATCTTTTAGTTGTTCATTTGTCTCCTTGAGTGAAAGGTACTCCCTCGTAGCAATATCCTTCTCCTTCAATCAATTCAAAGTATCTATCAGAATCACTAGAAACATGGATCACCGAATCATCAGAATAATTAGGACAAAACACATTCTCAAAGTCATGAACAGGGAGAGGCATTATCAAGTCTCGACAGACAGACAGACACGAAGGAATGAAATCTCTAGAGCTAAATGTGGTGCTTACCATCTTCATTTTCTCATTTTCCAATGACAAATCGGCAACTTTTCTCGTTAGCTCCTCGCGAAGGGCCTCTCAACATACAAGATCATTGAACATATCGGAGTTAGCATCATAAGGACTAGCCTAAAGAATAATACCATGAAGAGAGAATTCATTCCAACTCTCACCTGGCGCCGACGGATGGTCTGCCTAGCTGACTCCCGGTTAGCAATGACCCTGCGCAATCTTCGTTGTTCTTTCTCAGCCTGTAAGAAGCTCAACTTGTAAGTGTTCACTTCAGCGGGAAATCATATCGAATGAGGTCAAGAAAAATCTACCTCCGTCAAATTTTGTTTGGATCTACTACCATAGTAACCATATAGTGATGAGTAATTACTGGGGACCTTGACCGTAGATTTACCCAATTCAGAACTCACTTGGCTATGTGCTCTTTCTTGCACTACATTGTCTACAGCAGTGCAATCTCCATAACAACCGGCAGTCGAGCATGTCCCCTTCAGCAAAGGCCAACATCACATCGTCAAAATATATGTGAATGACACTCATATTTTCTGACGGAAAAAAGAATATTAGTTTTACTAGTAAAATTCAACAATCTTTTTCATTCTGAGTGAGAAACGCGGGAATTCCACATGTTTATTACATCAGAAACAATAGATCTCAGGCAATCCGGCTAACGAAAGTAATTATGTAGGCTATCTTTCAACATTCTTTTGCAGGACAAAAAAAAGAAAGGAAATCTACAATGTGTATGAACGGGAAGAAACCTAACTTGACTTCAGGATAGCTTTGACGCGTAAATCCACTCTCAGCAAACCAAGAAAAAAGGGAAAAGGTTCCTTTTAACATAAGGAATGGCAACATCACGAAAGAACAAGTTTAGTGTTTAGCCTCCTACAACGTAGCACAGGAATATCAAAACTAAACATAACAATAGGTTGCCGGTTAAGAGCGAATTCATCACCTTCTTGTCAAGAATAATCTGTAAATGGACATACCCAGATGCCTAAAAATCTACCATCTTTAATCTAAAGGAAGAATCATTGCACGCAAGAATTGGATGTGATTTTGATTAAGTTGCCAACCTGGACCCATTAGAGAAGAGTACAGTAGTTATCTTACTCCCAAAATTGAAGTCTCCTCCTGACCCTGGAAGCTCCCGAGTTGTGCCCTTTCAAGCGACTTGCTCTTGCTCCGCTTCCTGGACCTACTCTCGATTCTCTTCCACTCTTCCCCGCCGCTCTCACTCCCTGTCGCCGCTGACCCCGCAAGGTCCGTCAGGGCCCGCGCCGCATCGAGCTCCATCTCCACCGTCCCACGATGTCCCACTCCGCGTCGCTGTCGCGCGGAGGAAAGAGGCGAAGGCGACGCCATGGGTACTCGACACGGCCACCTCAGAGTAACACAAGGGTATAACGCCCGAGGCGGTGCTGACAAATGCCACGTATCAGACTTAGTCCCACCTGGTTACCACCCCGCGTGACGTAGGCACGGAGGGACTAATCGGGCACCCGACTCGCGGTGCAACGCCTGCGCGTTCGAGTTCGGGCGAGACGGTGCGGAAGAGGGGGTTGTACGTGGAGGTGTCGGAGCCACGAGTTGGCCTCGGGTGGCTCCGACGATCGCGGCCGTCCATCGCGGCTGGGAAAGATTGCTAGCCGTGGCAGGGGGTGGCCGGAGGTCGGCGCGGCAAACCTTAACGTGACTTCGAGATGGGGAAGGTGGTCGGATGTGTGGGTCCCGAGAACGGAGTGGCCGAGCTCCCACGTGTTGCCACGTAAAAAAAGCCAAGATGGGATAACCTCGTGTCGTGCCAAGATGACATTCAAGTGGCTCTTCGACAGACATGACGCGCATGGTGACGTTGGCAGTAGATTGGCCCACGCCAGCACTAAAAGTTGTCGCATCACCGCTTTAGGCTTACGGCAGAAGTCACGGATGTGCCGTTCGTTTGATCCATGCGGATATTTATTTCATTAATTTGTATGATAATTATTTAGCAACTTATCAACTGTATCTTTAGTCTATCTGATTCCGATTCTTGAATCTTAAAAATAAAAATTAAATCGTATAAGGTTGATTTTAGAATTAGAACCAAAACACACAATATATATATGTAATTAAATCAAGAACTATCTTTTCTGATTTAAAAATTATCATAATGGAATCGTTTAGATCCAATTTAAGTTTAATTTAGAACCGACAAATCGTCATATCTATTCGATTCGGACACATGTTTTCGTGTTCAATTTTGATGGAGAAAGCCATGGAATTAATTGAATCTAGCTATTAGTTAATTGCATCACAACCCTAAAACTAGAAACCGGTCCTGGTTCATTATAACAAAGACTTACAATAAAGCAATCAATAAGTAAAATGGATGATATCCATTTTCAATGAATTATATATATATATATTAGAAGACTATCACTGTAATATTCTATTAGTCCTACATCCGAAGTGGACAATATATATGATTGACTTATACGGGTCTGATGAGTGTATTATGTTAACTCTTATTTAAACATTTTGGTCCATGGTTAAAGGATTAAAATAGAGTCTATGTTAGGGTCCGATCTAGGTCAACCTAATTGAATTGGGCAATGTGTATGATTAATCACTTAAGCATTTTGGTCTATGGTTGAAGGATCAAAATAGAATTATTGGTCAGGACCAAAATGGAGTTATTGACCCAGCTCACTTGTGACAATCTAAAGGAAAGCTAGCAGTCAACCTAATCATAATGCTGTTAAGTCAATTTTTAGTTATTTGATGTAGAAGTTGATTCGGATATAACTTATTTCTTTCTCGAACCAATCTAAGTTAAACCTTTTTAATAAAGTTTGAATCATATAAAACTCGAGACACTCTTCACAATACCCTTTAGATGCATAAATTAACAAGTCAAATGAATATATTTTAATTTTTTTATGTCATGGATATACTTATAGAATCTCTTTTTATAATAAATTTTTAGAATCATTATCTTTATATGATGTACTGCTCATGAGAACATGAAGTGTTGGTCTTGAGCGTAATTGTTACTAAGATTTATATGATTCTAACGTATCAATCACATAATATTACAATATCAATAGATTCTAATATATCAATAATCTAGAGTTAAGGTGTTAGTCATATGACATCGACCTATCAATTGTATAAGTTGAGATATCAATCATGTTGTCACGACACGAGACTAATGCATTGTGATATTAATGTATTAGCCACATCATCGTACTCATGACATGTATTAACTAAATCATTATTGAATCAAGAAAAATATTCCTAAACTATATTCATTTACTAACGACATTAGGTCATTTACAATCCGAAAGAGCAACCGTGACCCACCAACGTCAAGTTGGATTAGGGCATGATGTAAAGAATTACCATAGTTTATATATTACAAGGTAAGGCATTGCACCAAATAAAAGCAAATGATCAGAAACAGAATATACCTCAAATGTGAGTAACAAAATAGTGAAATGCCCAACAAAAATGATTAAGCACCCGATATATGTCAAGTCCATCTCATCTGATACGAAACTATGAGATGTAGATGGTAGCCAACGCGTCAATCACATGTGACTGACATTATCCTGATACGTCATCTCCATCTGCCCCTTCACATGCTGATCTCATTAAGTCATCGTCATCTCATGTAAGGCCAAAACCTATGAGACAGACAAAAGTGATAGTAATAAGAGGATTAACTCAACGCTATATGATCGGACACAGAAAGCTGAGTCATATAATAATTACTCCATATTCGTTTGACATGATCTCATTTATGTTTAAAAGATATATATATATATATATATTAGGTTTAGCCCACAACTAAATTTTGTCAATCCAAGTTTTATTAATATATAACTATTCTCTCTCTTAATCATGTTTTCAATCTCTCGTATCAATCGTACAATAGTTTAGGTCCTATTATGGCACTTTTGTGTCTTTATACCAACAGTAAGTGATAATAAGGTGGATTCGATCCTTATAGCTTACTATCAAATAATCAAATTTTTAATTCTAAGATCCTTATATCTTAGATATCATCAAGAACAATATTTTAGATTTTAGATGTGATTTAGTTCACTCAGTACCTCTACAATGGAGTTCTGAGAGTCAAATCTTCTTGGATTTTATTAACCCGAGATTTTTTATTATTAATTATTATTTTATCGTCTTTGTGAGGTAATTCGGGTTTGGGATTTAGGGTTTGAGGTGAGTAGATGAATCTAACCGATCACTTTATTTCAGTCCTCGTGATCTTAGTCACCAAGACTATAAAAATTTAACTTCACCAACTACCATATGCATTGTCAATGGATTCACCTCTCAATGATTCAGTTCTAACATTGACTACAGGCATACATGTAAAGCTGTCGCTTTGGAATGAAGAGGAGAACGCATCTGTGCCAACACATCGATCTGTTTATTGCCTAGTTAAAGATGGTCGAGTGTACACTGTACACTGTACTCGATTCCTGTTCAACTTCAGAAAAAATAAAAAGAAGAAGGTGCCAGTGATTTCTGGAGTCCTTTCCTGAAGAACAACACACTTAACGAGAGTGAGTCACAGTGCCAAGCTGACGTTTCCTGAAACTTCACCCATTCGTCAGACCCTGCACAGTGCATTTTTCGAAGGAAATTTAAACGGAAAACCGCGGATTTCTTGTCCCCTTCTCTTCTCCTAACTTTTGTTGTTCTCGTGTCTTATGCTGGGAACTCACAAGTGAATCGAACCTTGTGAACGTGGCCTTCCTCCTTTTATCCTATTTTCTCGATTGAGGCAACCTTGTGAGTCGAGTCTTTGCAGCAACCGAGCTGGAAGCATTTGTCGGCTTGGACTGGCATGCGCTGTGGCCTAAAACCATGAGATTGGGATCGAAGGCTCCGGCTCAGGCGCCGGACGATAGTCAAAATCCACGCCGAAGAGTCTGAATCGCTTCGAGTTAGCAGGTGTCACTGCCTCACTCTGCACTGCTTCATCCCTCTGATCGCCTGTAAATGGACTCAACTTCAAGAATCCTTTATCATTCGATTCAGTAGCTTGATACGAGACCGTATGATGTAATGTTCCCAAAGGATTACCTGCACGAAGAAGAAGACAGTCCTCCTGCACCGAGCTGAAGCATGAGGTGCTCGTTGGACAGGAGCAAGGATCAGGGTGGCACACTGCCCGCCGTGGCCCTGCAGCAGTGGCCACGGCCATGGCGTGAGCCGGTGGCGGGCTCTCGTTTGCCCACCGATGTCTGCACCCGATGAAGAGACGGTCTCCCCCGAACCGTGGACGTCCAAAGAGCACGACATCGCCTGCATCTAACCTCTTCTCCTTGACAAAGCGGCTCCACCCTTTGGTCAGCACGTAGCTCTGGCTACTGGTCCAGTAAGAATACCGGAACTGCCATGCCTTGCCTGATTCGTCCTCGAAGCTCAGCAGAAGGCCTTTCTCGCCTGAGTCGCGGCCGAGGGGGAAGTACTTCTCGGCGTGCTGCTTTGGGATGACCAGCCTGTTGAGCTTGCCTACATCGCTAGGGGTTAGGGGCTTTTCAAACATGTTTTCTCTCTCAACCATTGATTCCTCCTCCTCTGCTTGGTAGAGATGCTGATAATGGTGGTGCAGATCTATCCAAGACCAAGCTTGTGGGTGATGTTGTGCCATATGTGTTTGGTAGTGGCTCAAGTCTGGAAGCGACGACAAAGAAGAGGGGAGAGAGATGGCGGGGGCCGTGGACGGTTGGTGGTGCTGAAGGTGTCCGAGTGATATTACCATGCATTTATAGCCCGTGAAGAATAACTTCCGACGCAGCAACATCTGGCTACAGATGTAAGGGAGACGCCTGGTTGATCGATCAGAACATCCATGGATTGTTGATGAGGAATGGTCAGGTGGTGGTATGCAGAAGCCGGTGCTGCGCTCGTGTCCTCATCACAGCCATCCAGTGTGAGCCCCAAGCAATTATATTCCACGTGGAGTGTTGTCTATCGACGACTCCTGGCAACCGGGGTTGTTTTCTTTTACCTGGAATACATCCCGAGTCCCTCAATAATCTTCAGATGGTTATTCCTCCGCGTCGATCCAAGGAGTCAGGTCGAATCCTTTCTCTGTAGTCACCTCAGCAGGGACCTGGAGGACTCTCATCGCCGGAATGTATGACCGAGAGAGTAGGTTGAACTCCACCATAACATTAAAGATGAATGTCCTAAACTTAGACCATTGAGAATTCCAACGTTCAGAACCGACTGCTTGTGTACTGGGTCAGAATGCAGCTCTAATCAGGATTGTGGTCAATATTAGAGTTTCCATCTACTGAGCTCAAACAAGTATTTTGTTAGGCATTGCCACTTCCTTGATCTCCATCTACAAAAAGCAGGACAGTGAAGCTATTTTATCATGTGGGTTTTAGCTTCATGGGGACCAACTACATGTACTTGATGGAAGGGAATTAGGACTCTCAGGGATGAAGATGGAGAAGAAGAAGATAAGATTAGTCCAACACCTGCCACTTTCCAACCGTTCATCTCCCCTGCTGTTGTGTGCAATGTACTCTGCACCCTCTCCTCCTCCAGTTCCCCATCATGCAAACCCACCAGCCTCTTCTTCTCCATGACCATATGGATGGGACACCTGTAGACCATGGGTACGCCCACCTCGCTTGCATTTGATATCCACAGATCCCCAACTCTCTTTTTGCATGTGCACATACATAAATGAGTGGGTATCTTTCAATTAGCATGCAGTAATGCTACAATATCTAATCCTTGCTGCATGTGTCGTGGGGTTATCTGAACAAGGAGATAAGAAAACACATGGGAATGTGCTCAAACACCAACAGCTTCTGGGTCACGCCATGTATCCACTGCAGAATTCATGGAGCTGTAAGGAATCTGATTGTTTTCTTCTGTCAGGGAACCAGCGGACAAGGATTAGTAATATTATAACTCAAGGGTCATGAGCTAAGACCTCGTAGGGACTTTCAACTATCTCTCTCTCTCTCTTCTTTTCTCCTTTCTGGTAGCCAGAATGCTCACTGGCATCAGGCTGTAAAACTAGTGGAACAAGGACTCAGGACAATGGGGGGACCAAATGATGGAAGAACAAGTCGAGTCTCAACTCCAGTGAGGAAAGCGAGAAAGAGCTTGGCATGTTGCAGAAGGGCACTAAAACAACGACATGGTCGGTCGAACTTGGCCACGCCTTTTCAAGAGAGTAAGAGACTCCAATCATTGGGTGCACCTGACGAGCTCTGTTAGTAGCAGTAGTCGACAGTAGAGCAGGACGGTGAGACTTGCACACCTTGCAACCACAGTTGCAAGATTGATTCATGTTTCTTTCAGCAGGAAATCAATTGAAATCAAACTCTTGATGATTCTGATAGGCACTACTCACTGCCACTATTTTGGACGTAGCAGGCTATGATATGAGCTGGCCACACTTACATAAGGTGGAATTTTATGCATGGTAACACAGCTAGGAATTGGAGTGTGGCATCTTAAACAATGAACCAAGTGCATCAGATAATGCTTCTGTCGCCAGAGAATTCAAGTGGCCAGGAGTTACTCCAGGACTCGAGGGTAACTTGAGGAAGATGATAGAACAACTGTTCAACAATTATACAGTCCAAGCTACCAGGAAAGTGATGGCCACTGGTTACTTACTGGAGAAAATTACGGGAGGTTGGAGTTCGAGAATGTCAATATCCACAAATATAATATGACTTGCATGTAACATTCACCATTTACATTTTACCATACTCTGTCCATATACATGAGGCTCTCTATAGTCATCTTCTGAGACTTATAATTGTTCGAGCACAACAGAAACCGTCCCCAATCCATGTGTAATATCTAACGATGAGAAATGAACTTAGATAAAACCAGCAACACGACAGCAGACAGATAAGAGAGTCATTCAAGGGAGAGACTGTGCTCTTGTATGTAACATAGCATGAAGGGGAAAATAATCTTGTAAAGAAGCCATTTCTCTAGTTGTTATCACCTTGATAAATTATCACTCTGAATGTTCAGTCGCTTGAGTTTGCCAGGCCTACCATCTTAAGCATGTTTCGATCCTCCTTAAACCTCTCGAGAACCGTACCTTTCAATACCTCAGGCTTTCCATTCTGTGGCCCTTTTGCTAGGACTCCCCAACACTCGATTGTTTCTGGATGTATCTTACTTGTCTTGGATAGGCAAGGACTGTTGAAAGTTGTGCAGGAAAAGGTGTGGCCCTGATCAAAATTTGCAGATAGAAAAAGACCAAAGTGATTTGCGCGTCCTCCAAAGCCAATGCCGTTTGGGATGCTATCTGAGCTAAAGTTCACAGCACACTGCCACAACAAGAAATCAGGTGTCAGTTATTATCCTGTGTTTAACTAAAGATTGTTTGCACCAAATATTGGCAGTGGATGATGGCTAATCATACTAAGTGATTGTATATGCAAAAGAAAGAAAAAAAATTGCCCAGAGAAGAAAAGCCAATCTCAAAATTCAGGTGTGACGTATTTCCTGCTGCACAGAACCTAAAGAAGATGAAAGGCTCAAAATGAACATGATGGCAAGAAATCTTCATTGGAGGGTAGAACAGGTTTAATTTAGCAAAATGAGAATGCAGAACATCATGATTGCATGCGATAGGTCATTTCATGCAATCCAACATATCTCATCTGTCAAAATTACCATGCAGATGGGATTTTCAGAACATTGGTTGACAGATTCCCACAATAGCATAATGCAAGAAGGACAACACTGCACTAACATAAGAAAAATAACTAGCAAGAGAGGCATGTAAACCATGTCTGCCCCGTGCCATGACTACTGGTAATTTACATGAAGAAATTTTCATATACGGTAAATCTTCACAGATCCTTCTATTAACCTTACCCATTGCAAATTATTATTTGCTCCTGTTGGACGAAAAATGGAAGCTTTTGGATACAACTGGAAGAGAAAGGATTTCATATCACCATAAAAATCACTTTGCCTTTCCCATGGTTGAGAAGCATATCCTCCATACACATAACCTTCAGTATCTTTGATAATCAACACAGTCGGTCCATCTCCATTTCTGCAGTGCACAGAACCATACCCAATCAACTAGTAACACACAAACCATGATGACCAAGCTATAAATACCAAATGGAATAGGATGATAGAGCATTTGAGAAGGCAACTAGGTTCAACCAACTAATCACCTAAAGTATGTTATAGTTTACATAATATACAACCCAGAAGATAATATTTTCACTTCATTTTGTTTGTGCCAAATTCCCATATTTCTGGGTCGAGCAGATCCAACTATTGAAGTTCAACAAAAGAGATACTCACGATATATTGCCCAAAAAGGTTGAGAAGCTGAGGCCATTAACTGCACTATGGTACAAAAGCTTCCACTCTTCCACCTCATTCTGCGAGAGAGCTCCTCCAATATGCCAAGCATATTCTTTCCACAAGAGTAGCATATCAGATGATACATTTTCTGGATGCTGTAGACATGGAACTTGGTAGCCTGGTCTGCCTACAGATAGGTCACCAATTGTGTAAAAAATGGTAGCAGAAAAACTGAAAACTTGAAAAATCAATCATAAAGCAGTTATCACAGAGACAACAAAGATAATTCTACAAGTCAGCAAGTAGAAAAGCTTCAAACAGTTATTCATTTTCTGGACGTTGTAGACATGGAACTTGGTAGCCTGGTCTGCCTACAGATAGGTCACCAATTGTGTAAAAAATGGTAGTAAAAAAACTGAAAACTTGAAAAATCAATCATAAAGCAGTTATCACAGAGACAACAAAGATAATTCTACAAGTCAGCAAGTAGAAAAGCTTCAAATAGTTATTCATTTTCTGGACGCCGTAGACATGGATCTTGGTAGCCTGGTCTGCCTACAGATAGGTCACCAATTGTGTAAAAAATGGTAGCAGAAAAACTGAAAACTTGAAAAATCAATCATAAAGTAGTTATCACAGAGACAACAAAGATAATTCTACAAGTCAGCAAGTAGAAAAGCTTCAAATAGTTATTCATTTTCTGGACGTTGTAGACATGGAACTTGGTAGCCTGGTCTGCCTACAGATAGGTCACCAATTGTGTAAAAAATGGTAGCAGAAAAACTGAAAACTTGAAAAATCAATCATAAAGTAGTTATCATAGAGACAACAAAGATAATTCTACAAGTTAGCAAGTAGAAAAGCTTCAAATAGTTACGATGCGAGTTGAGGAGATGGCATCAAGGAGGGAGATAGGAAACCTGAATCAGGTGGTGTCAACAAACTTCCAAGGAACTTCCTTGCTGATGGGAGAAGGCTACACCAACTTCTAAAATCTGCCAAAGACATACTTTCCCTGGCCAATCCTTCAACTTTTTCCGAAAATATTGCTGCATTAATAAACACTTCTAGAATATCCTGGTGTTGTGAACTCAAGTCATTATCATCAGATTCTGGAGAAAATAAGGCTTCATGTATTGACTTTAGTACAGCCTCGATATCAGACCTGAGAAGTCAAGTTAGCTCAAAAATATTCAGTATATAGAACTAAATATAAATAATACTAAATTCTTAAGGATTTAAGACCTTACAGGAAGAAAATTGTCAAGTAAACTATATCAGATTCTCATGGATATAAGACTATACTGAAAGAAGGTAGTCAAGTTACACAGAGCAACAACAATATGTTTTTCTTAATGGTGGAATCATCCTATTTTTCTTCAATACTGCAGATTTTGAAGAAAACAACAAATCATCCTATATATCTTCAATGCTATTACCACCCGGAAACCAATGAACCATCTGTGAACTGCTTGAAAAAGGTAATCAGTGTGCCACTTCATGCCCGAGACCTATATACAGTCCTATATGTACAGATCTAGGAAAGACTTAAAACCTTGGTCAAAAGCAAATACAAGGGTTATAAACAAAAGATGGGTTATAATCAAATAGAAGGCAAAACTTAAAATTTTTGTCCGGAGATCTTATAGAATCTTCTATATAACATGCTTTCTCATGGCTTATAATCAACTTAGACATAGTTCTGAATATATAAGGTATAAACACACCAATCCCAGCATTGTCTGTATAGTTCCAATGACCTCTGATGTTGGCTCAATAGACATGTACAAATATAAACAAAAAGGCTTCTAGGATTTTTCTTGTCACATCATCATCTCTACTTTGATGGTAAACAACTTATTTATTATTTCCTTGAATAGTTTATTGGCTCCAGCTGACAAATGTTATCTCATAAAATCTTCTATATAACATGCTTCTCATGGCTTATAATCAACTAAGACATAGAAGGGTTCTGAAATATAAAGTATAAACACACCAATCCCAGCTTTTGTCAATATAGTTCCAATGAACTCTGGTGTTGGTTCACTAGACATGTACAAGTGTAAACAAAAAGGCTTGTAGGATTTCTTTTGTCACATAATCCTATCTGCTTGACCAGTAATGAACAAGTATAAACAACATTTCAGTAATGAACATCATACCTAAATCAGGGAGTTTGACCATCTGCTAGTAGATTTTTTATCAAAATTTTGCCTTACAAGGTTGTGTAACAACATAAATTTTTTATTCTTATGTAACCAATAGAAAAAGTATTTATTCTCAGTGCTAGTATTCTTGTTCTTAAATTTAGAAAAGAATACTACCTCCACCAAGGTGTCCGATTCTACAGCATAAAGATCACTAAATACTTGTCACAAGCTAAGCATTTTATGTAGATGGAAATAACCATGAAGATGGGAACTCATCAAATCCTTTAGGATTGAAATTGCAAGGAACAAAGTGACGTAGCAAGTTTCCAGTATGCTTTCAACAACCAGTAGTGCTTGAACCCTTGGCTTCTTTCTTTTCTAATCTTTAGTCCCATGTAGGAAAGGAAGGATTCATTTCCTTTTGCATTACTTGAATATTTTAATTTTTCTTCATCAGATCAAGTGTAGTATATGCATACTTCACTGCAATTTCCTACCTTCCTAGAATGCTGTCTCCTGTAACATCACATAATTGGTATATAAATTCCTCAATTTCGTCTCGAGCACCTTTCTCATATGTTGCCTGACACAAAAGAAAATGGAAGAGAGACATAAGACGAGCAAAAAACTTCATGAATACTGAAAAATGGCCCTTGAAAGAATTAGTAATAGAAGCTCACTTCACTGCCAAAGCTATCTCCACATCACGACCAAAATGAATCCCAAAATTTACAATTCAGGTAACGAACAGCACCAGTTTATTTATTTTAAAACAACTAGAGTAATCAAAATGTCTAATCCATCAACAGAACCTAATCATCGTTGCATAATTCCTAGGTACCTAACACAAAGGCCAAATTGAGCAAAAGTTCATGTATGTCATGGCTGGAAGATACGTTAACTTTCCTATTACATTTTAATACAGTTAAATTAGTTATTGAAGAGGAAAAAGACAAAAATTGGAACTAGACAAGTCAGATATAAGATAAGATATGAGGAGGCAACTTAATCACGATTACTTGTTTGGAACTTATTGTTTACGCAACCAACAAAACATTCAATCAATCTGGAAACGGGTCACCGAATAAAAATTCAAATTTTGTAGAAAAGATTGGTCAGGAGTGGAAAGAATAAAAGAAAGGAGCCAACTTTGGTAACAACGAGATCCTCAAAAGTGAGCATGCCATCGTTCCGCTTTCGAGCAGCCAGTTGAAACATCCTGGCGCCGAGCGGGCCAGGAACCCGAAAATGCGCCTGCGAAAACAGTCCAAGAAAATGAGAATCAGGTTGTTGGGATCCACATCAAGAATTTAGGGCTCCAAACGATCATTCGAAGGTGGGGGGTGAACCTGAAACACGGGCTGGGAAATGAACTTGCAGTTGCTCCCAGATTGAGCAGCCAGAGACACGAAGAGCGACCTCAGATCCTCCAACTCTTGCTTCGAGAAAGCCCTGTGTATGCATATGAAGAACAATGACTCAATCGATGAGATGACTTGGAAGGGAAGAAAAGAGCTGAGATGAGATATCATATACAAGCTTGCCGCATCAAGGGGAGGGTCGGGAGACGGCGACTGGGCGTTGCCCATGATTGCCTCTCCTTGTTTTCTCTTCCCCTTCCTCTTCCCCTTCCTCTCAGCCTGATTCCTGCTGTTTCCGAGACCGGACTCTTCGACCGAACCATTTAGCGCCATCAACAAAGGTCGTTTGGCTCCGACCCATTAGCGATCAGCTGCAAGGCACGTGAAAGGGTTAACTGTTGCACGTCTCGCCTGTCCTCGCTGTGAAATATTATTATAATAAACAGGAATTTAGAATAATTGCTTTGTGAAATACCGAGACTGACCTCTCTCCTCGCTGGAATTGCCATCTTAAATTCACAAAAAAATCAAGGTAATTTAATATCATTGTAAATTCTAAAATTTGCATCATGAAACTCATTTGTTTGTATATTTAACATTAAATAATATCCGAAATTCATAAAGAATTCATAGTAATTTATTAACATCATATATTGTAAAATTTGCATCATGCATATCTGTTTTCAAAATCTAATACTGAATAATATATTAAATTAACAAAGAATTCAAGGTAATAAAATAACATAATAAATTCTTATATTTACATCAATTTTTTGAAAATCTAATATTAAGTAATATCCAAAATCTAAAAAAAATATCAATATGAATTAAAATATTTTGAACTTAATAAAGAAACAATAGGGACTTATTGTTCCTTACTATCATCTGTGTTGTTCCTTTCTTGATCTTGCTTGTCTTTGGACTCTTCTCGATCTTTGTTAGAATAATGAAAAGAGAGAGTTTGCTAAGCTTAAATAGGTGATTAGGAAGGATGCTACTTAAGATAAAAATCATAATTTTTTTATTTTGATATTTCATATTTAATCAAATAATTATTTTATTAAATATTTTCTTGTTCAACAAAAGAATTAGCCTTAATAGCTTATGGATTTTTTTAGAAAATAAAAAATAAAATTATACAATATGGATCCCTAATTAATCTTTGAAATATCAAGACATGAGTATGTCTGCAAATGTTGGAAGCAGGCCAAAAGTAAGCCATGTATTTGATCTTTTTCAGGGTACATAACTCTGAAGCTAATTTACCCATCTAATCAAATTTCATAAATCATCTTATTGGAAATACGTTTTAAGAAGATATGATTTCCAATTCAAATTCCATAAATTCTTCTCTATCAATTTGTATATCTTCGATAATCGAGTTTGAGCTGTTAATAATCTCATATGAATTCTTAATAGTTAACTGAGTTTGAGTTGTTAACAATAGCAAATATCACTAAATCAACTTCTTCATCACAATACAAATGTGATTAGCACTTCCTCCTATAAATAAATAGTCAAAAGGGATCATTTGAATACTTGAATGGCAACTCTTATTGTAAAGCAAATTCAATCGAATTGCATGTCTTTCTTAACTATCACGTAAATCCAAGACAAATGCTCTTAAAAGATCCTCTAGCATTTGAATTATCTTTCAAAGATCGATCATCTATTTGGGGGTGAAAAGATAATCATCACCCTTGTTAACCAAAAACAAAAACAAAGACTAACTAAGTGAAACAATCCTTAATCATCAAAATTTCGTCATATCTTTTTTGGTTGCCCTGTTACAAAATCTATAGTACCCTATTGTATATTTTCTAGAATTTTCTCATAGGTATTTGATGATCAAACAGTCAGTGAGTATCAAATCATATTAAACTTGTGATGATTTTTTGATGTGTTATTTGATTCTTAATATATGGGAAGTTTTTTGGTTTGGAAGATCATCATCTCCTTCTCAACACTAGCAAAAAGGTTAATTAATTATTTTGACATGCACATTATTGGTAGTAATTTAAATAAGATTAAATAGGCATAGTCTGCTGTAACAAAACCGAAGCCAAATGTAGTCGGTCTTTCTCTAGGAAATGCTATGTCAGCTTACCATTTCAATAATTGGAGCTGACTAATTCTCATGGTAATTCTTTGGGTGCTGCATGCAACTCGTCCACAAAAAGAGAAAGTTGCTCGTGGTTACTTAGAAATTTGAGGTTCTTAAACTAAGGTGATTTATTTGTGATTTGTCAAACTTGGATTACTCTACAAAGCAACCATTTTCATTACCTTACACGGATTCAAGAAGTACGATATGGTCATTAACCTAAGGAGTTGCACATCTATTTGCACACATGTACACTTCCAAAACTTGAATTCTACACGTAAAAGCTCATTAAATGAAAGTGTTTGACCGCTGGTGTGATGCTATAATTTTCTATGGCATGAACAGTTTTGTGATGGCTAATGCATAGTATATTTGCATGTCAAAATAATTTGACATGTATTGACACATAATTTCATGTCAAAATATGTGATCCGTGCACAAATTTTAATAATTTAGAAATAATTTAACTTTTGCTCTGGCAAGTTACCCGTATTGATACGTTCGTTTCATCGGATAAAGGGGGGATCAGGACAGAGACTCATTGGCCATTGCTAAGTGCTCAAGTATAAAAGTCATACCATAGTTTAAGTTGGGGGGCTCTCTCGACTCACTCAATTGCATAGCTTATACTATTGTCCTTCTTCTTCACCTTATGCTAACTTAAGTATTGGAAGGGTGTAGTCAAGAACTCCTCAGTGCAAACCTGTTATGCAAGACTATCGATGACCAGGAGACGATCTCGCCGCCAAGAAATGACCCCTTAGTAAAGGAGACCCATTCATCTACTCGGCCCCTTCGTTCTAAGGTCAGATCATCCCCAACGAACCATCCCCCCAACAGACCTCCCTCGTCGGCTCATCGCGTTAGCACTCCATATCAGTGAGGAGGAGACACTAGGATGAGCCTGCACTTTCGATAATGAATTAACTAAATCGACTCATGGTATTTATGACACTATTAGAATGTACTTAGTGACTCCCATGACCTTATTCTCCTCCTTGCCCTTCTGTTTATTGTTGCTTGCAATTGTACACTTGCTGCTAATTGTCCACACTATATCTCCGCAATCAAGAAAAAGAATAAACTACTCTAATCTAACGTAGTAGGGGAGGAAGGTGGAAAAGTATCTCATCTTGACAAACATTTAGACATTTATATCAGTTACGAGAATGCAAAGCAAATATAGCTAATCTATCATCAAGTAATGTGAAAAGTAAACAAAACTAAGAGACAATGTAACGAGGAGAAGGATTTCTCGATTAGAACAGGAGGAATGACATTGGGATTGGAGTCCTCTCCCCGTCCATAGAGTGTGCTCGAGTTCATGCCAATTGTCATCGCATGTGAAAAGTAAACAAAACTGAGAAACAATTTTTTTATCAATTTGAATCAAGAGTGAAAAAAAAGCTTGAACCTTTTAGCAACGTTACATAGTGACAAAGAAAGGTGTTCTCCATCATAGTCTCATATCCATGATTATAAATAAATTATTCTAAAAAAGATATAAAATAAAAACATATCAATAGACCTAATAAGCAAGAATCTTCTAAATATAAATGTTCATAATTAACTTTATAAAAAAACAAGAATTTTCTAAATTATCTAACAAATGTCATTCTAAGTCAAATCTTATAATAAATATTATCACATATTACAAAGGCTTAGGTCAAACACTCGGTGACACACTTTCTTAATAGTGTATTTATGGGAAGCTTCAACTTATGAAAATGAGTTTTAGCTGATCGTGTATTCTTATCGCCTGTAAATGGATTCAAAATAACAATAAAGTGTAATATTCAATTCAATCATTTTGGAAGTTCATCATAAGTTAATTATCACGATACTTGAGATTATTCAAGTCAAGTTAATGGATAGAATCCATATATAACAAGATTCATTGATCGAATTTTATGGGTTGTTTTGTCCTCGTATCACGTATCAGGATCATTCTTGAGACGAATAAGAAAATTTTCATTAATTAGATATATGCTTAGAATGGTGGTGACAAGTTTGAGGTTATAGGGATAAGGGAATATAAAAAAACAGTTGATATTGCTTGTCGTAACTACAATTGTAGGGAATGAGATTTAATTGGTATTCCTTGTTGCTATACTATATCATGTTTAAATTATTTACAAAAAAATATGAAGATCGAAGTGGATATATATTATTGAAGAGCCACTTTCTTGGATATCTATAGTCATCTCCTCAATCCTTTGGATAGCAAGAAGATGTGACCAATTAACAATCATAAAATACTTGAGCCTCTCAATCTTCCTAAAAGAAAACCTAGAAAACAGCAAAAATTAAGATGTCATCTTGAGCCACCAAAGGGTCCTATGATAAAAAGAAGAGTATAGTCACTTGCTACTGAATTTTTGCTGAACATAGGCTGAACATCTTGCTACTGAAGCACAACCAGTTGCTATTGATCCACCCTAGTAAGTGAGTAGTCTGATGTGTAGTATAGGATGGACTCTAGAGTGGACACCAATGCCAACTCTAGATATTGAACATCCTCCAATGCAAAGAAAAAAATTACAAGTAATTGAATGTTTATTTCTTTCAGTATTTTGTTTCTGATTCAATTGTTAGTATCATTTGATTTTTTTTTAAATTTGTTTCTTTACTGCAGAGTAGAAAAAAGCAGTGATATTTTGGATATCTTTTGATCATTTTTGAAGGACTATAACTTAAATTGACAGTTTAGTCATTTTGGAAGACTGTAAATTAAATTGGTTGTATTTGTTTGATGTTGTCAATTAACTATAGTGTACAATATTTCGAAAGACTATAAATGTGATGTTCAAATTCATAATTCAGATTTATGCAGATTTGTCAACAAATCTCTTAGATGAGTGCATATTTCTGCACGTATCAAAGCAGTTTCTGATCCAAGAACTGTTTTGACAGCTGCTGCAATATAACATACAGATTTGTTGTTTTGACCAAGGTCTGTCATACCGAAGCGTACCGCCCGTATCGAGCGGTATGTACCGGTACGCGGACCATCCGGTACCACTACAGTACTACAGTACTATACTGTAGCAATGCTACAGTATGAAAAAGTTTAAAATTGTTCGGTACATCAAGGTGTATCGCTCGGTACACCCTAATGTACCGCCTGATACACTGGTACCGTATCATACCGAGCCTGGGTCGAAACGTCAGTACGGTATGGTACGGCGAACCTTGGTTTTGACAACATTGACAGATTTGTTTTCTTGACCATCTCATATTTAGATTTGTTGTTTTGACAAGCAGTTTTATGTTCCATGCTTTTATATTTGTTCAGTTTCATATTTCAGATCAAATGTTCAGATTAAATGCAGCAGTGTTATAGTCCAGATTTGTTGTTTTGACAGCTGTTGCAATATAACATGCAGCTTTGTTATTCAGATCAAATTATAGCTGCATTTGTTCAGTTTTCCACAGTAGCAATTCATCTAAACAGCTTTCAGCTGCTATAGTCATATTCCATTCATTCAGTTTTCTGCAGCAGCAATTCATCTGCAGCACAAATGTTCAGTTTTCTGCAGCAACCAATTCATCTGCAGCACAAATGTTCAGTTTTGTACAGCAACAACTTTCAGCTACAATAGCCATATTTTTTATTGCATTGAATCGATTTAACTCATAGGTGTGAACCATCATATTATTATTTTTATTGATTGGAGTTGGCTCATAAAAAGCCCACCTTAGAATATTGCTTTAAAGAGAGCGAGCCCAACAAATTCGAACCCTAAAAGCCCATTCATTCATTGGGATTCGAAAGAGACCGTTGGAAGACATAATTACTATCGAATCCGCCACAACTTTACCCGCTTCATGGGAAGAGGGCCCCGCAAAAGAAACCCATGAGAGTAGCCCCCGCAACCTAACATGGTAAACGATGCGGGTCTTTCGGCGGGTATCGAGTTCTTGGTGAAAGAGACGGCGCCACTCCCGAACCTGTTACATTTCAAACCCGTTAAACTCCGAACTTGACTCTCTTTTAATTTGTTTGTTTGTTTCTCGAGGAGAAGAAGGAAATCCAATGGGTTGCATCTCTTCTAAACTGCTCGCCGTCGCCGAAGTCGGCGAGGAGCTTCTCTTCTCTGGCGACGCAGGCCCCGACGGCGACTGCCCGAACCATTTCGTCTCCCTCACCTCTACCACCTACGGCGCCCTCAGCCTCGATCGCGGCGACGAGAAAGCCAATGATCCCAAGGCGCCAGCAGAGAAGGAAGTCGAACCGGATGCAGCCTCGGCGTCGGAGTGCGGCCAGCCGTCCCCTCCCCATGTCGACAAGAAGAGCGCCGCGGCGGAGGAAGAGCGCCCCTCGGAGGTCATCGACGCGCGGGAGCTCATGGGGGACCTGGCCGACGAGACCCCTAGCCGGTCGCCACCGCAGAAGAAGAGGCCACACAAACCCTCGCCTGCATTGCGCCGGTCGCCCGCGGTGAGGGCCGCGATGTCGCCCGTGATGCCAAGGAATTGGTTCGCCGGGAAGGAGAACACCCCGCTGCGGCTGGAGCCCAAAAGGTCGGATCATGACGCCTACCGTGCCTCGAAGCCGTTCCGTTCCTTGGACAACACGCCGTGGACCAACCTCGTTTCGGCAATCTCGAAGAAGGGCACCCCCAACAGCGCACGGAGCAACAACTCCAATAGAGATTTCAGTAACTCCAAGTCGAGGCGGAGCCTGAGCCCCTTGTTCGATCCGGAGCTCCTCGCTCGTTTCGAGCGGGAGCACTGCGAGGAAGGGGAGCAGATCAAGAGGATGGTGCACGTCAAGATCTGCGATTCTGTTATCCTGCTTCAATCCTTCGAGGAGAAGTGTCCCCCAGGAGGTGAGGACACCGTGGTCCTCTACACCACCACGCTCAGAGGGATCAGGAAGACCTTTGAGGATTGCAACACAGTCAGGTCCTTGATCGAGTCCTACGGCGGCCACATCGTGGAGAGGGACATCTCCATGGACTCCGGGTACAGGGAGGAACTACGGCTGCTGATGGGGAGGAAGGAGGTGAAGGTCCCGATCGTCTTCGTCAAGGGCAGGTGTGTCGGTGGTGCCGAGGAGATCGTGAGATTGGAAGAAGAAGATGAGTTGGGGCTTTTGCTGGAGGGGCTTCCGAGGGCGACAAAGTGGTGCGAGGGCTGCGGCGGGTTGCGATTTGTGATGTGCATGGACTGCAATGGCAGCTGCAAGGTGTTGGATTCCGAGAAGAAGAAGGTGAAGTGTGAAGGGTGCAATGAGAACGGCTTGATCCATTGCCCCATATGTTGCTGAGACGAAAATAGAGAAAGATTTGGCACTTCCCTTCACGAGGTTTGGAGTCATCCATCTTATGTATGGTTCCAGGCTACACTTGTTTTTGTTTCTAATTTACTAGATGAACGTGGGATGCCATGAACAAGTCAATTAAGCAGTAGGAATGGGTTGATTGCTATATTCACCCCAGAATGTAGCAGATATCTCTATAGTATGTGCTAAATCTCCTCACAACTATTATCTTTTAATTGATTAAAGCCTCATTTCAGATTGTCTGTATGTACCTATCCTAACCTCATCTTTTCATTCTCTAACTCGGTTTAAGATAATTGAGTAACACATCAGAAAGGATTTTGATTGAGAGTTTTGAGGAGAGATCAATTATACTTTTAACGCTTTACTTAATGTTATTGAACCTGTATGCTCTTCTAATGTAAGATAAATTGTACTCCTGTGTACATGTTTAGAGTACCCTTGGTTGAAAGAAATGTAGGGTCTGAGGAAAATATGTTAGATGTGTGATGAGACTTGGCTGCCCTTGAGTCTGCAGTACTACGGGTAGCAATTATTCCATTTGTGTACTGCTTTTGAAACTTGAAAGCATCTAATTGCTTCTTATGATCTAATTGGTTGTAATGTACAAACAAGAAAGCATGCCGATAATGTTTCTTTGAGCTATTTCTGAGTTTTTCTAGGTGTACTTTTCTTTTTTGGTGTGATATGGGTTCTTTTACAATGCTTCATACTCTTTTTTTCATGGTACAGAAACAATTGGCTTCCTTATTTTCCTGACCGGAGAAAGTTTGTGCATTCGAGAAGCCAATTGTTTTGTTATAGTTGTTTATTCTTGAGGAATCTTTTGGCTAATTCCAGCTCTCCTTTTGTGGTCAACGAAAAGCTATGTCTCTAAACTTGACAGTGACATTCATAGAAGTTCAGGTATCAAATTCTGCTTCTAGATAACAACTCCTTATGGCTGTTTGGCCACCAGAATATTGGCAAATCCATGATAATGACTGATGCAATTATATCTCTTCTTTATCATAGATTTTACTTAACAATGAATGCTTCCTGAAATGTTATATCTGAGATTTTAAACATTGTTTATGTAATATGCTGCTATGTTTCAAACATGGTGACCATTTATGTTGAAGAGCAGTGCCACTGAATCTGGTCACTGACTAAGTTAACAATCATTTATGTTGATTGATAATTAGTCACAATTCAAAGCACAAGTGGCTTCCATGCACTTCTTGGAACCTTGGAGATGATTGTTGCTTATTAGTCAATTATCAGTTTGTGCACACTATGCTTTTCTTACCAAAGAAGTTTTAAGCTACTTGTTCTTTATATTTTATGGTTTTTATTTTTTTTATTTGCATTTTAAAAGCATACTAGAACTAGAAATAATTCGATGCAAGTCTTTTATGCATTTGTTGAAGTTGGTGGGTATATTTCAAGCTAATTATATATTACCCCCTGTAATTAGTTAACCTTAGCATCTTGATTTCTACACTTTCAAAAGTTATATTGGAAATTTTATACTTACGAAGGTGAAATATTTAACCCTATTTCTCCTCACGTTGTCGACTCTGTTGACGGAAATACCGCACGTGCTCAGTGGTAAACCCTGTAATATTTACGTTAGTAGAGTTGACGACGTGAGAGAAATGAAATTAAATGTTTCACTTTCATAAGTACAGGGATCTCAATATAACTCTTAAAAGTATAAGGATCAGGATACTAAAGTTAACTAATTATATAAAATAATTTATAATTAGCCCGTATATTTCATCTATCTCATTGTGTTATTGATTTCTATATTTCTTTTTTAAGAAAAAAAGAATTATTATATTAACTCAAACACATACATCCATCTCCTCGCTTATTAAAGGAGATCAAAGTAGATTACTCAGCGGACAGTAAGATATGTAAAAGTTCAGATGTTCTAGAAACTGCTGTGACTTTCAAATTCACTGGAAAAGTACAGACTGGATATCCTTCTGCAAAGTTCATCTAGATAGGTATACAAGATTTTGCTAGCAATATTACTAGCACAGATGATAGCACCCTTTACTTTTCTGACCCATAGTCCACTCAAGTCCACTTTTGCTCTGTAGAATATGTTTTCATTTCGCACCTCTTAACGAAGCCCTCACGGAATACTGGCTTCCATATTGACTACAATATATTAGTTAATTTCAGAATTTTAAGAGCAATTGCATGTGTGAAAGAAAGAACTTCACAATGCTTGGTTGGATGTCTCTATCATTACGAAATAATTGCTGATTAGATATATATATTATTAATAAATAGGAAACACTATCTGTCAAAAACATAAAAGATACACTTGATTTGAGGCATTTATGAATGTCAATAAATAGCAGTGAATGAACTTCTTCCTTTTCCGGTATATCATGTATTTCTAGTTGAGCAACAGCTTTTTGGTTTTGATTTTCCAGAGTTATTTGTTCATTTGATAGCTAATGCCTCGCTGAAATTGTGTGCGAGCATTTACCTAGACCAACCTATGTTTAAGTATTTGCCTAGATGAACTTGTGTGTGGATATTTGCCTTGACTGATGTGTGAATTCTTTTGTCTAATTTTTGTAAATCATGTTGAATGACTTGTATTTTTTATAAAAAGGATATTCACAAAATTATATATGTGAAAGACATGTGAATGTGATTTTTATGAAACGAGATATTGTCCCAGCTAGCCACAAATTAGAAGCAGATAATGAGTTGCATTGGAATATAAATTGTGATGGTGCTAACAAGCTGCACTTAGTGTTTCTATTCCACATGACTGAAACTTCACTCTATTGAAACCAATGAGCCAGTGACCCTACCAGATGAGTCATAACAAATAATGTCATGATCTGCAGACATGATTATGGTAATGCTTGTTTTATTCACACAGTAATTTTTTTGCAGATGCAACACTGTTTTACGCCTTTTATATGTGTTCTTTTGGAGTTACTGCAAATAGTCCTAATGTCTGTTCATTATCTCATATGCCAGGGGGCTTTACTTCCAGCCAACTCATACATTATTTGCAAAAGAGATGCCAGTGAAATCTTTTGAAGATGAATGACATGGATTTTGGCTGTGCAAACCAATCCATTAGATTTCTTTGTGACCTTGGAACGAACCTTGTGATGACTGTATTGACAAATATCTTCCCACCAAGAAGAATCATGCTAGAAGGATCAGCCAGGCCAATTTCTTTCAAGTTTGCGCCTAACTCAGGAAAAAATCGAGACAAAAGAAAGTGGAAGCAACAGTTGCTGTTTATAATTGTGTCTCTCATACAATGTCTCTTTCATGATCCATGTTCATATTCTTTATTTCCAGATCAGTCAGGATCAGGATGCATAATTCTATTCCAGATGCTAATCTCCCTCTGCAATCACAACACAGCAGCAGTCTTGTCACATTTCTCGAGCTGACTTTGCCAAGCCGCAAGTTTGAATTTGATGGTCACTACATCTTTTATTCCATTGACTTGGTTGCTGCTTCTTGGAGGCTCAACTCACAAAAATGCTTTGTCAGTGCATGTTCTAATTGTGCGTGCCATTGCCAGAGTTTGTTCCTGGTGGCAATGAGTTGGTTTTTGTGCCTCGACTTCCATATTTCAAGCACTATATATCAAGAAGAAGGTATTTTATTGGGTAGAAAAGTATGGTGTTTTACAGGGATCAGGTGACTTATAGGCAGTCCATAATCATCATCATTGTCAGCATCATCATCATCGATAGTTTCCATGAGAATAAAATGGTTGGAGTTCTGATCATCCTGTTGCAATTTAACTAAAATTGACAAGGGAGGAAATGCCAGAACCAATTTCATTGGGAAAATCCTTACACTCGAGATCAGATTGCCAGCATTCATCTTAAGTTGTCTCATGCATCGTCTTCGCATGCGTGTTGATCAAATCAATTCGGAATTAATACCAAAATATTTTGTCATGGCCAAAGTAGGTTGTCGTTACAATCAAAAGAATGTTTGATTACAGTGACACAAAACTCTCTCCACAGCGGGAGAACACCATCACACTGTGACAGACACCAGAAGGAACTGAACTTGAAACCAGTATTTGTTAGTCTCAATTGCTCAAGAGACAACCCTGTTGGATCCCCAGAAGATCTCTTAGTGGGTTTATGGCTATCGCGTGGCTTCCCTGCCTTGCCATGAACCATCAACTTCAGTAAGCACATCTTCGGAAGCACCTGTCAAGCAATCATCCACACCCCCAAGAGAGAAGCTGGAATTTTGTGAGTCTTCTTCGTCGAACTCGACCCACACTGTGCTTATCGTCGTCTCAAACTTCTGAGAGAACAGAATGTTTCTCGCGTCATGTAATCCGAACTCGGCTTCTTTGACTGCTGCATCCTGCTGATGTTGTTTGGACGTTTCCGTGGCCTCTTGATCACCGGAACTTGTTGAAGGTGGACAATGGGAGCCAGCGGGCAGCTTCTGTTCGATCGACGAAACTTGTGCGGCTGTGATGATTCGAACATGTGGGTAGTCCAAGCTCTTCCAGCAAACGCTTCTCTTGCAATTCTCGTAGAAATCATGAAGACTGGGCGTCTGCGTCAACGCCTTGTTGAGGACGTCAAGAGCTAAGCTTTTGGGGGACTTGTCGAGCTCAGGGTAGGAGCTCACCACGATCTCCATGCCGTCGGAGAAGCCGTCGTACACTCGAAAGCTTTCTCTCAAGATAATGTTGAATGCTGACTGCATCACTTGGCTTGAGAACGATGGATTACTAGGCAGGCAATCCATTATCCGATCGAGAAGGATTTGGCTCTTGGACAATCTGTACAAGAGCCATTCGGCTGCCTCTTCTTTATGCGATCGAAACGCCGACTGCGGCGGCCTGATCGGCTCCAGCAGACCGGCCTGGTTGATGATCCAACCCAACCTTTCCTCGAGAAACAGCGAATAGCTGAGGAGGAAGGAGTGCAGATGACCTTTATCAGCTGAGCACCACGAGAGATCCACCCTGAGCTCTCCGCACGACCACATGTTTTGCAGGTCCTGCTCGAAGTACCGGTCGCCGCCACGCAGGAGACGGTGGAGGAGCACGAGGGTCTTCAAAGCCACCGTCGAGTCCCGCGTGGCGTCGAGCCGGGAGGAGATCCTCCTGGAGAGGAAGGTGATGGAACCAGGAGCGTTGGAGACCCGGAAGAGGATCTCATGCACACACTCCTCGTTAACGGGCACGTCGTGCTTGTCGGTGCACCGTGCTATGGCGGCCTCTATCTCGGTGAGGATGCTTCGATCGGCCATCGCCGCTCTCGGAGCAATAGCATGGTCCACAAGTGAGCTTAGAGCAGCCAAGAGCTTGCTCTTCACCTTCATCACTTGGAGAGCAGGATGTGGGAGATATACTGCATGGGAATTTTACACAGAGAAAGAGAGAGAGAGAGAGAGAGAGAGAGAGAGAGAGGTGGGAGGCTGTAAGGCCTAAAGCTCTATAAAGTAGAGGATGTTTCACAGGAATACTTGGACAGTAATCATACCATGCCATGGCTTGGTTGCTTTCATGAATATGTATAATAATTCATACTATCCTCACAAGAATTTGTGTGGATGAACTTGTTTGGACCAAGAAAACAACTGGTGGTGCTGTGGCTGGAGAGAAAAGAAGGTGATCAGAAAAGTTTCCACTTTCAGATTTTGTTTAATTTATTCCAAGGTCAACTCTTGGTGGACTTGGTGGGGGAATCCCATTCTGGTGGAATAGGATTCTCATGCATCAAAATCTTCCCCCATTGGTATACTCAACTGGGTTTGACTCAGGGGCCTACTCTTTTTTCTTGGTTGGATTCCCACACAAACATCCGAAACAGCTTGTGAGGAATGAAGGGGGAACATATTTGATGTTGTTTACTTGTTTACTTACCCACTTGTTCAGTAAAAGCAGCCGAAAAAGGTGGTCCTTTTATTCCCTACCTTGCTATCTTTTGACTAAACCCACCCCCTTCTCTCTCTCTCTCTCTCTCTCATGTGTGTGTGTGTGTGTGTGTGTTTGTCATTAAGCCTATCAACCAGTCGGTCTTCGGCTATAGTTTTTTGTTTACAGCTTTAAAGAGCATTTGAGAGATCTGAACTTGTAAAAAGACTAGCTTAGAAAACATCATGTTGGAGATGTCCAGATTAGACACCTGACAATAGCCTGTGCTTATCTATCTTTCCTTCCTAGCGTCTCGTGATGCTTGCAGTGATCAATGCCTTTGATAAGTTGCACATGATACAGAGGCATTACCTAATTCTTAGTAGAGCAAAAGATATACACAAGATAGGTGTTGCTTCTTTTCCTCTCTTCATTCTTCATCTTTCATCAATTTCCCAATGTATTCACAGATTTCAGTAATAAATCTATGTAATATCAGTTCCCTTTTGCTCTTTGTTACATTTCAATTCATCATTCATTTTATCTTCTTCTCATCTTTGGCAACACTTTTGTGTAACAAATGAATCGCCTCTATCCATGTCTTCTGCTGAATAGCACAGCCATATATTTAGCAGAAGCTAGCTTTAACATCCCATGTTTCACTTCTCAGATGCACGCAGCAGCTGTCAACTGGATTTGGACATAAAACCTCCACACCATATCGCCTTCGACCCCCAACATCTAGCAGATAACAAGCAGTCAGGAACTCGATGGATGTGTCTCTCTGGCAACAACTCGAGAGGATAAGAACTGTCTTCTGTTACCATTGTGTGTGTTCATCCGTAGCCGAGGACTAGAGAGACAAAAAGAGGCACGGAACCTAAGGTTTGCTTCTGGAGATCGCATGAGTTCGAAGTCTCCCTGCTTCGACAGAATGCACACGCATCGTGTTGGAAGTCAATGTAGGTTTGAATCAGATGCTCAGACAGTGTCTCATCGATCTGAAGTGTTATACCCTAATGAACTAATCTGCGACGCATATGCAGGCGTTCCGATAGGCTGGACATCAAATGTTTCCACTCTTTCACGATGCTTCGTGTCAAGGTAATGGTGTGTAATGGCGATGTGTACCAGTGAGGAGGATGCTAAAAGGTGACACGAGAATGACTGGCGATGATGCTTCACCGGAACACTGGTAGTAAAGATCCAGAGGCAAAGAAAGTTGTAACGGAAGGAAGCTCTCCTCCCTGCTGGATCATGTCAATAATTTCCTGAAACCACGTGAGAATGTTCCTGCAGCACTAGAGACGACATGGAAGCAGCGTTCACCATCCATGGGTATAGAATATATAGCGGCCATTGGAGCATCTGTTTGAAGGGGCCTACTCAACTGAAAGCACAGAAGTGGAGACATCATCCACTTTGCCAGTCACGACGGCACCCAAGCTGGAGATGCCGAGTAGACTTTCTGCACTCAAAAAGTGATTGAAATCATGTCAGATGAGTAGGAAAATCTACATAGTGAATCTCTCCGAAAGACTAAGATTGGTCGTCCGTTGATAAAGCATTCGGCATACAAATGTTTGGCATCGTTTCACTGCAGGAATATGCGGTCGTTTCTTGACTTGTATTTGTTCTTCCCTTCCCCCCCCCCCCAAAAACATAAAAGCATGTATTATTATTATTATCTTATCGAAGCACAAAAAACACTTCTAACATAGACATACTCCTCTCCCCAAAAAAACGGAAATGTTTTCTCTCTCAGAGCGTGTCTGGCCAACCAATTGATCATGAGAGAACTCATAAACATCAAACGACAAAGGGATGAACCATAGGAATAATGCTTCTCACCACATCTCAAACAACAAAGGGGTTTCTCTTTGTAGAATTCTGATAAAGATAAGTCTTGGAGTTTGATTCTGTATGCACCTTCACGCAAGGAAACAAAAGCATTAAGCGAAAGCTTCCAACTCTAATTATTTTTAATGATTAATAATCCCATTTTTAACTCTAACCAACTTAACTCACAAGGAAACAAAACAATTAGAGAAAAGCTTCCACCTCCCGTTGTTCTTAATAAAAAGAATTAATCATTCATATTTAACTCTAACCACCTCAGCATTAAGGAAAAGCTCCCAACTCCAGCTTCACTTGTAATCCTCAAATGCCATGTCTAAGGCACGTAATAATATCTTTACCTTTGTTGACAAGGTTAAAAATATCCATCAAGTTTGATTGGTACATGAAATATATTTGGGAAATGCTGGAAATTAAGATCATAGTGATTTGCCAACCCAAATATGTATTGGTGTGCCTAAGGAGACGAAGTTGCTATTCAATTATTATTATATATATATATATATATAATATTATTTATTTAAATATTTATCAATCGAAAGGATGATCGAATATCATTACACTATATATAGTTTCAAAACTGGCTCAATTAAATTCAATTTGATTATGATTCATGATTATACAAAATTAGAATCATCGGTTTTGAAACGGAAATCATCAAATTCCGGAACTAAGGTATGGGCTATACTCCTACCATAAAAATCTAATTCGAAAGGCATTAATGACGTCAGGTTGGTCCTCGTGGGGGGAAGGCATGGGTTCATTTATGCTGACGTGGTAGACCAAATCAAAAGCCAAGAAATCAATCTCACGAGTCGGCGGCTCGGACACGGACTTTCGCTGTGCCTTGCCTTCCTCTCCCCAGCCTACGCCGCCGGACCGCCGCCCTTCCACCGCCATCTCTTCCTCTGGAACACCGGTATCCCACCGGCACAGTCGTCGCCCCCGAATGCCACGGTCGTATTGCCGTCACGAGGCGCTTCTTGCTGAAGAAACCCTAAGCATTATAATTCGAAGCGCCTCGGGTTTCGGTAACAGCCGTTTGCTTTCTGGTTTCGCGATCGCTTCGCGTCTCAAATTTATATGCGCTTCTCTTTGTAGTTTTTATTTGTAACTCAGCTGCAGGAGAGATGAGGTCCCGATGTAATTGCGATTGTATTGCAAAATGGTTCCTGAAATCGTACAAAACAATTAGATGGTCTGTAATTACGGATTTTGATGTAGGTTTGTCGAGTAACATGGTGTGACTTATCGGAGTTGCAGGACTCCTGGGGGAAGTCTAATTTGGTGGATAGGTGCTGTAGGTTAGGCCTTCATGAAGATGTTAGCAAACATAAAACAAAATGAGCTTAAGGGACCTCGTGGCTTGTTGGATGAAAATAAACTAGGATAGAATTATTAGTTCACAAAATGTTATTTAATGTCTTTGAGATGTGCTCATTTCAGAGACCTGAATTCGACATGATTTGGTGAAGCAAAATGGCAATGGGCGAGGTCACTTGTTGAGTTTTTGTAAGATATATTGAGCTGATTGGAAGATGCACCTGCAAGTTTTCTACAGATTTTGACCTATCAGACCTTAACTTGTGAATCAGTAGTGGTTACATATGTTGACATAAAGTGAGCTTCAAGGGTACTAAATCATTGAACTTTTATGTGGCATGGAAATAATTCTGCTCATTACTGGTGAAAAGAAGGATAGGTTTAGAAAGAGGCAGCATGCCAGAGTCTCATGCTTAATGATTCCGTGGTAGGTTCAAAATCAAATAACCTTTGAAACTTAAATTCATTCTGTAGGCATATTACATGACCACTTCTTGTTGTTCCTCAAATTCTTTACTCGATGCACATCTTGAAGTGATATTTACATGTTCCAATAATTTATTTCAGAAAATAATTCTATGCAAGGCTCATGCATCTTATTTCTAATTTGGAATCCTTTTTAATTCAGCCATGTGAAGCTGCACTTATCAATTGTGATTCACCTGACTAACTGTCGCCAGAAATCTCTCGTACCTTTTTGACTGATTAGTTTAAATATTTAGCCTTCAAATTTTTGTTGCTAATGAGGTGCAACAATTGCCAATTTACAATCAATTCAATGGTTTAAAGAACATCTTTTTTGGTGCAATTCCATATACATCTGCTTTTTGACATGCAAGTACCGATATCTTATCTTTGCTATTTGGTAACATAATGATGATATTTCTTAATCTGATCTTTTTGTAACTCCATTAGCCATTTCTTGTGGGAATTTTTAGCAAGTTTTTTTTGTTATTGTTGTTGGAGTAAATAAAGTTAAAAAAAAATGGTACCCACTGCATGAGGCTTCTGTCAGTCTAGGAAATGTCAATGTATGCAGTCTTACCAACAAAAACATAGAGAACTATTTATTTTTCTAAATATATGAAGGCAGTGACATTCAGAATCACTATGTGTGGTGTCCACACCTAGACATCCAGGCACTGAGATTTAGTTTGGATTTTTTGTTTTTGTTCAAAATGATATTATTGAATTGCTCAAGAAGGTATAGGAGTACAGATTTGAGTATATGGGTCTGATAAGAATTTGATATAAAGTCGAGTAAACAGTCAAAACTTGTATTGAATTGAAGAGGATGGCTAAAAGTAAAGTATATTGGAAATGTAGTTTACTTGTTCTATATGTTAAATCAATCAATTAAAATCTTTTATATGATATCTGTGTTTGTGGTTATTCAGATGCCTAAAGTGAATTTCAACTGAGAAATAGAAATTTCAATGTATGTACTTTGTTGGACACTAAAGTTGGAATGCAAATGGAGTTCCACCTTCTTTCAGAAAGGAAATTTCAACTTTGGTTTCAGCAAAGTCAAGGTCATTTGGTAACTCAGTAGAAGGCATTTCATGCTATCACTGACACTCATTTTCTTTCCTTAAAAAACACCGACCCAGCTTGAATTAAGTTGGTTTAACCCAAGAGAACTAAAACAGGTTGGATCTACCTAATCAGCTCATCAAAATAGATCAAGCAAAAGCTAGTGCATCTCAACCAAACCCAACCTATGCCTTAATTAGATATGACACTGACAACTTAGTTAATTAGGAAGAACCAAAATGGAGATAAAAAATTGCCACTTTACAAACATTTCATGGCAAACATTTGTCCAAAAGACAACTTAGTTAATTAGATGCGAGCTATTTTCCTTTTTTCTTGATGACAAATTTTTTAGAGCAATCATGACAAACAGATTATTTGAGTCTTCTGTCCATCCTACTGCACAAAGTAAACTTTTCTACTCTTTAATGTGTTCCTCAAATGCCACCAGTTGTAAGGTAAGTTGGACTTTGTAAATTCATTTAACTTTCTTTTCCTTATTGCATAAAGATTTGTGTGTTTACTCTGTTATGTACTTATGTTCTCTTTTTATTCTTGAAATAAGCTGCTTCATTTATGGTTTATGCAACTTCAAGAAGCTCTTTCTCTGTGCTTCTGGATGTGTTTAAAAATAGTGTACACATATTGGTGTGTCTTTTTTTGTGCAATACAATTGTCAACCATGTCCGAGGTTTAATTTTTTCATGCTTTTGATATCATCCTATCATTCTTCTGCTTTAATCAGAGAGATTTGCCACATGAGACAAGAGATACTGAAGATTGCTGTTTGTCTTCTTGAGCACTTTTGACATCACACTGTAAGTGATTGTTAATAGAGGATCATCAAGTTGTTTGTGCTTGAAGTAAAATGAATTGTTTTCTTAAATTGGTACCTAGTAAAGTTCTTTGCACCATGTCTGATGATGGTCATGATATAACAGCGAAGGGGGTCATTCTGAATGGGCTCTAGAGACATGAAAAACAAGTCCAGTGGCAAGAAACTGGCTGTTGCTTCTGCTAAAGTGGAAGTAGATAATTTCATAGGAAGCAGCAATGCCTGCTTATATGAAACTTCTCAAAATAAAATGGATTTCTCAAAACTTTTGGTAATGAATAAGACAGTGGAAGTTGTCTTTTATCATCTGCCTGAGGCTACCAATGCTTGAGTACTCATGGGCTTCTTATGTCTTGGTTTTGTCAGGAAGGTGTAGTCTTTGCATTGTCAGGGTTTGTTAACCCTGAGAGGGCCACATTGCGATCAAAGGCATTGGAGATGGGGGCAGAATACCAACCTGATTGGACCTCAGATTGCACAATTCTTGTGTGTGCCTTTCCGAATACTCCTAAATTTAGACAAGTCAAGTCTGATGGTGGGACAATTGTGTCAAAGGTTATAGTTCATTTTCATCTTTATAATATAGTTCATGTCAAGTGTGAAGATATGGAAACATTTGTGCTTGAAGAAGAAAGATCTCAGTGTGCTTATTGCTCACTTAACTTCTCTATTACTTGTGCTGATCTTCTTATTGTAGATTTATATAGAACATATAGACCTCTTCTTTAATTAGATCAATCAATCATATTCTGAGTGGTGTCACATTATTTATGCTGATTGCAATTAGGTTTCCTAAGTACAGTTGGGATAACTTAAGCAGCCTATGCCTTGTAAGATGGTGTGCTTGCATGATCAACTAAGAATAGCACCTGAAATGAGACGTTAAGGTACAAAGCCATTTTATGCACGTTTCCCTTTCCAGAAGTCATTCCTGTTCACTTTAATCTGACTCCTTGTTCCCTTTTCGCAAACACTTCTCAGTTTTTGTGTGTTGCTTGTTGCTCTATAGTAATTTTTGCACTTATTTAGTATGCATTGAGCTCTTTGACCTGCAAGATTCTATTATTACCTCAGCTGGATGTCAAAAATTTGCAGAGATATTTACAGTCTCACCTGTCTCCATGAACAATAGGTTTTTTATGAACATGTAATAAAAAACAATGATGATTTGATTTGTTCCTGCAATCTTATACTTGGTATAGGATTTGGATATTATGTAGGACAGGATTTTTTTTTTCTTATGCATTTCCCAACAGTGGATTGTTAACCAGCCTTCATAATCCCTTTCTATTCCATGTTCAGGGAAGTCAGTGTTATTGTGTCTCACTGCTTTAGTTTTTTCAGATATCAATATGCATTGAATATCAATTAGATGGTTAATATGACACTTATATACGGCACTGGAGCATGGACATAATTACAAATATTTATTTTATAGTCATATCTGAGATGCTGTTGAGCTGGATTTTACCTAAATAATGTATACAAAGAATAGATGACTGTGGTGCTTTCTAAATGATGAAACTGACAAGATAAGTCCGATGCATAAAATTTGCTAACATGAATTCAAATTTCGTATTTCAATTGCACCTTTAATGAAGTCTACATGCAATATAGGAACTGTTATAATGGATAGAAGCATCTAGTTTTGCTGATTGACAACTAATTTACTTTTTGATGTACATTGAAGTGATAGTCTTTAATTTTTGTAGGACTGGATATCTGAGTGTCATAGCCAGAAAAGTCTTGTTGACATTGTGCCGTACCTTATGCATGTTGGAAAACCATGGCGGAAAGGCAGCAAGCAGTTTGACTTTCAGCAAGGTAGTAAGCCAGCTTGTTGCTTATTGGCCAAATGTAGAGCTAATTTATAAGCTTTTCTCACATTTCATTGATTTTAGCTTTAACATACTTAAGGAGACTGGATGATGATACTGCAGAAGATGCTGACTGTCAGGGATAAGTTTTAGAGTATGCCTTTGGGGTTTTCTATACTCTAGGCAAATCTTGCATTGTCTTTTTTGTTCTGGAATTTGGGAAAGGAATACTTCAAGACCTGAAAGTGTAAACAAATTGTGATTAGTTAGTCTTGAAGAAGGGATATGTCAAAGATACTCATGTGGACGACCTGGTCCTAAAAGGCACATTGATAAAGTAAAAATAAAATGTAAATTGTCCACTCTGACCCAATTTCATAGTGGAAAAGATATCAACTCATATCCTGCTGTGATGACTACTATGTCCTTGAAATGCCATATACTCTGTGTGGTGGCTGCTTTGGCTACTCATGGAACATTGGTTGATGCATGGTTCATGAAATGTGCCAAACATGGTCAAATTTGAACTAATTATTTGGTATTATTGTTGAATTAATTGATGAAATTGGTCACACAAGAATTGGCTGGGGATCTAGTCGTTTCTGGTAAAGAGAAAAGAGGAGTAGAGTAGTGGGAAGAGGAGCAAAAATTGCCTCCATTAAACATGCTTGCCCAATGTCAATGTTGCCCAGAGATGGGAAAGCAAAATAAGTGTGAGATGAAGGGAAAAGGAGTGCCTTGAAGCCTTGACTTTACCAGATACTGAACAAGATCTAATCCTGCTTATCTTGCTGGGATGTTGATGGTGGTCATGCCATTGTATGGTGCATACTATTTTCTTTATATTAAGAAACAATCTGAATTTGTTTTAGGCAGCCACTGGAAATATGGTTTCTTTTTGAGAACATGATAGTTTTTAGAGCTTATGATTATGTTCCTTTAGTTAAAAAATCAAAATGTGAAGAGGGAAATTTTATGGTATAAATCTATTTTGATGAGCAAGATAATGATATAAATCTGCTTTCCTGGTGATCTTTTGCAATTAAATTTGTAGATGAGTGTGATGTTGTACATGAAGAACCTCTTTCACAGTCTGGAAGATTAGATGTAGAATCTTCTGGGAGAAAAAGGCGTGCGGTTAGTATTTTTCATCTGGAAGGCATTATGTGCATGTCTTATGCAATTTATTTCCCTGATAATCATTTTAACCTAAAAACATTCTATTGGAATCAGTACTAAAGATCACAAAGACTAGTACATAAAGCTGAAAAGGCATACAGTTGATTTTCTTGCAATAATTTTTTCATGTCATGGGGAGCATGTAGTATAATGATTGTTTTCAATTGTGTTTTGCTTGGAATGTAAAATTATATTAATTATAATAATTTTTATCTAATAGTTTCCTTATAGTGTAGTATGGTTTGTTTGGAATGTAGTGTTACTTATAGCAAGGATTTTAATTTCGAATAATACTGCCCGTACCGGGTGGTACGTATCGGTCCATCAGTAGACTGGTACGCGGACCGCTCGCTACCGAGCAATAGGGTCGATTGGGGCTGTTTCCGCTTTGTTATCACCCTAAATCGATCGGCATAGGGAGAAGAAAGAAGAGGGAGAAGAGAAGAGAAAACCTGAAGATCCGGCGTCGCTCTCCCTCGATGATCCCGATCCGTTGTTGGACGTCGTAGATGATGTTGCCTCCTCGTCTAAGGCGACGAGGCCTCGGTGTCGTCGGCGACTTCTCCTCATCCGCACGGGGAGATAAGAAGCCTCGGTGATGTCTCAGGGAGAAGCTGTTTCTTCTCTCCACGCAGGCGGAAGGAACGAGGTGTTTTTTTTTAATTTTTTTATTTTTTTGCGTGGGAAGAAGGAACCCTCAGTTTCTTCTCCCCATGCGGGCAGAAACCAAGCGACGTCGCCTTTCTTTCTTCTTTTTTTTTTGCGCGGGGAGAAGGAAACGATTTCTTCTCCCCATGCATGCAGAAATCGAGCAACGTCGCCTTTCTTTTTCCTTTTTTTTTTGCACGGGGAAACCGGGCGACGTTGCCTTTCTCTTTTTTTTTTTTGCGCGGGGAGAAGGAAACAGTTTCTTCTCCCCACGCGGGCAGAAACAGAGCGACGTTGCCTTTTTTTTTTTCTCTTTTGCACAAGGAGAAGGAAACCTCCTCCTTACACGGGCAGAGAGCGGTATACCAAAACGTACCGCTCGGTATACATAGATGTTTTAATGAAGTTATTTATGTCAAATATTTATGTCAAGTAGTGAATAATAGGGTCTTGAAGCTTAGAAAGTAGATACTAATAATTCTAAATACATGACAAATTATTTTTTGTAGATACATTGCTATAATTATTGTGTAGTTGTCTTCTTGTTGTACAAATGCTTATGTAAATCTAGATGTATGTGATATTATTCAATATCTTGCATAAGTGATTCATTTCGCTTACAAAGTATAAATGCTCTAAAAGCTTTAGACATTTAAAAAGGATATATGCCATTTATGTGAGAGTCCTGATTTGGAAATTTTAGTGGCATATTTTTGTTGAAGTGAAGTGAGACATAAGCTATGTTTGGAATTTCTTTTCAAGTGGTTTTTAAATATAATACTGGAGTATTAGCTCTTTATTCTACATAAGAATTCTATATTTGGTTTAGGTACTATTTTGTGCTGAGTAGTTATGTATTGTAAGATGATGGTAGGGTTAGGGTGTCAATACATGGGGTTAAAAAGGTCTGATACTAATAACTTGGACTTAGTCATTTTAGATCATGTGATTCTAGGCTTGTTATATCCAAAATTATAAGGCCAATAGGTCTTTTGTGCCTTTGGTTGTGGCAATGGTATGAAACACCTTTGGCTTTACCTGATGAAATTTACAGTGATGAAATTTACCTGATGCACACATGCCAAGGTGTGAAAATTTTAAGACCACATCGGTGCCCTAGAGGTGGTTCCTGAATTTTATGTGGACTCATTATGAAGCTGCTGAGCCTTTGATTGACTGGCCGATTAGCCGCACATGTGGATTATGTTGGTATATACAGCTAATTGTTCTACTAGGAGTAACTCAGGATTAAGCATTTTGGAGTTTGTGGTTCTTCCTTTATATCTGACTTATTAGGTCGCTAGATTGTTCATAATCTGGACACTGAAGTCGTCAAACTTGTCAGGTAAAAGAACTTAAACTAGAAGAAAATAGCCTAGATCTGCATATGCATTATGTCAATAGTTTGTCTCATTTTGCTTTATCAGTTGGCAGTTATACTGAAAATTAACAAGTTACATTTAGTCTACAATTTGCAAGTTATATATAGTACATTACAATCATAATGCAGGTGTGGAAATTTGTGATGTTATGGTGTATTCATTCCAATATAAAAACACCAAATTTGTCACTTTTCTGCATCTTGACAGGTTGATATATTTAAGAACTAGATATTTTCCTTTTGAAACCTAAGATTCTTCCTGGAATTGTAGCTTATATTGTGTTAGTGTTGGTTTTAATTGCAGGGAGAACTTGCCACTAATGTTGACATTCAATTTTCTCCTTCCAAGATAAAACAGTGGGCTGTAGATGATTTGCATAGAACAATGTCATGGTTGGAGAGGCAAGATGAAAAGGTGAGTTCCTATCACTTTTATCCTATTACAGCAAGATCACCCGTCAAGTAGATATGGTGTGATTTCTTAGGAGTTGATAAATGATGGTAGTAATCTATGTTACATTTAGCTCTTCACTCTCCTTTATCCCTTGATATAACATATTTGTGTCTTTACATCATTGCATCTCTTAGTTGCAATTGTTTATTTGGGCATTGACAGTGATACTGTTGTTTTCCAAAATGTTCGAATTAGAGCAACTTCATAAAGGCTTTCTTTGGTTTGTACATAAAAGTGGAACAAGGCTTGGAATAAACTTGCCAGCCAAACTTAAAAATGGAGGGATCTATTTATGACATTGTATGTCTAACCTACTTATCCCTATTGCAATGATTAAAGAGGTGGAATTAGAGATATTAAATCTATGCACCAATTTTATGCCCATCTCATTTTTTATCATTCTTTTCCCTTTCTTGAGTACCCTTTAGATATATATTATTAAATCATGTAATTTTCCTCACCATTAACATCATCACTAATGCCCAACCTCTACCTTCACTAGCATAGCCATTTCACAATCATCTGCTGCCACTGCTTACAACATCCTGCATATCCTCCATTTCACCATTTCCACCATTGTTGCTTTCTATTTACAGCTGTTTGGACTCCTTTATCCTCTCTTCATTTTTCTTGATATTACCATTTCTCATCATATTGTCATCAAACCTCCATCTCATCATTACTGCTAACCATCACCTTTTCATCCCTTATACAGCTCACCCTAACCGCCACCTCTTTAATAGCCCTAAAAAAATGTTAATCCTCAATTTCCATAGGATCATACACCCTCAAAAAATTGAAAATAGATAGATATTAATCTCTCTCTCTCTCTCTCTCTCTCTCTCTCTCTATATATATATATATATATATATATATATATATATATATATACGCATATATATATATACATATACATATACATATACATATATAATCTAAATTATGGATTTAAGAAAAGCATAACCGGAGTGTACTAAATAAAAAAGAATGGTTTTATTACCACCTTTGCTTTTGTTCTTAGTTAAATGAAAAGTTAATTACATAGCAAAATTAAAGCATCTTACATGGATAGCAAGTGACCCAGTTATATCGTTCAATCATCAATGTATCCCAAGATCTAGAAGAACAAACCTACACTAATTTCCACATACATCGATATAGATAGATGGTACATCTCAATTTGTGTCAATTTCATGATTCAGAACTTCTCGATATTCTAGGTAACTATGTCTTCATGGTCATTTTTACTACCCTACTGCTACCTTGCTGGATTGTGTTAACCAAGGTCTGTCATACCGAAGTATACCGCCCGGTACGGGCGGTACATACCGGTCCGACAGGTTACCGGTACGCAGACCGTCCGGTACTGCTACAGTGCTACAGTATTATACTGTAGTACCACAGTACTGTACTGTAGCACTGCTACAGTATAAAAAGTATAAAATTATTCGGTACACCAGGATGTACCACTCGGTACACCCTGATGTACCGCCCGGTACATCGGTACCGTACCGTACTAAGCCCGGGTCGAAACACCGGTACGGTATGGTATGACGAACCTTGGTGTTAACCACTTAACCTTAAACTCAATCATTTTAATGTGCAATGATGCGTCCTGTCAAGGTTAACTTACCTACATTGCATGTGGACAAACTCTTGTGCATTATGATTCTCCTATCATAAATTTAAAATGGTTAGCAAGTGCTTGGTGAATGAATAATGCATGATATTATTGTTTATGATGTCAGTGCAATTATCTGATTTTTCTGTTTTGTCAGCCAGAAAAGAGTGAAATCAAAGGTATAGCTGCAGAAGGGATTATTACTTGTCTGCAAGATTCTATAGATTCCCTTGGGCAAGACCATGTAAGTTTGTTCCATTTTTTATCTTGATTTAGGATCATATGCTATATGTGGGAAACCTGGCCAAGAAAAATGTGGGGAATTGTCCAACAAATAGTGGCTGACTATGTGTGTGGCTAGCTAGCATTACACAATTACTTAAAAGTTTTGTTTTTAAAGGCAATGCTGACATTCAAAACTCAGAGATTAAAGTTTGGAGGTTTTCTAAGTATCTTTTTAATCAGTATTATTTCCTTCGTTCCCAAACCATCCAGATCATTCAGAATATATAGTTCAGAGGACATGATACAACATTTGCATCTTAAACTGTTTACTCTCCTTTCAATGCATTGGCTAGTGTTGCTCTAGCACACTATTATTATCTTTTTTGTCTTCCCATTATCTAGTCTGCAAGCATCAACATCACACTTCCTAAGCATATCTTTGGGGTTTGATTTTGCAAATATACTTACTAATATGTTGCTTAGGATGTTCGGCATGTTAGCGAGCAATGGAAGTTTGTCCCTCGTGTTGTGAAAGAGCTGGTGGAACTTGAGAACAGCAGTAAAAAAGGATTGGCAACGAAAAAGGTGCTGTATGAACTGGCCGTCAGGTGCAAGGAGATTTATGAAGAAGAGTTTGACCATTTAAATAACCTTAAGAAAAAACAGCAGAAAGCTGATCATAACCAGGAGGAAGAAATTGAGGATGAGCAAGTTAAGCCTGATGATGCTGGGTTTGACAGTGATGAAACCATCGTCATGACGCAAGAAGAAATTGACGTCGCCTGCAAACAACTTTCTGAGAACTGTGAATGGTAAAGAAACAATTAGTTCGTCATTGGATCCTATTTTACTTGGCTTCAACTGGTGTGAATTTTAAGTTATTCGGTTGGCTTACTACATTGAGTGTTTCTTGGCAACAACCTTTTTCTCTTGCAACTGTTGTTTGATAGTGTAGGTGCTTATCTTTGGTTGCATTGTGTTTTCGAATTTTTTATCCAATTGCTCTCCGAGTTTGACTGTGGTAATCATTTTCTGTACTTTGCTGGCCTAATATATAGTTTGTGCATTAATTTTCTATTTTTACTTGACATTTCTTTTCCTTGCCGAATTGCAGAGTGGATCCGAGACCAAAGGAACATCACTTGGAAGCAAATGAGAGATTGATGGGGGAACTATAAGAACTTAACCTTCTTTCTCTGGAAGTTTGAGTAGGATCAAGCACGTCCTGTGCTCTGACACCATATCCATATCAATTTTGTTGTGCTGGCATTGACTTGACCTCTCGAAAGAAGATTTGCTAGCAAGCCATTTATGGAAAAATTTAGTGGATCCTCTATAGCAATAATGCTGTGTCAAAGAGTTTGTGATTGCAGCATGAGCGAAAAATAGAACGTGTCATATGATACGTATCCGAGAAAACATGGAGGCCTTCCTCTACAATCAAGAAAGACAGAAAAATCAAGGACATTGTATTCGTTTTTATTTAGTGTTTTTTTTATTTGGACGAAAATATCTTCAATCTTTTATCAAAATGATTTGATTTTATTCAAAAAATTAATAATTAATTATCATAAAATTTTAATAGAAGTGATACTTATCATGTTAGAAGAATCATTATAGAATGGATTAGCTAAATTATTTTTTAGTTTTTCAAAATTTATAATAATTAATTATCAAAATTAAGTTATTGGTATCATTTAAGCTTTACAATCCATATAAAATAAAGAAAATAAAAGTGGACATATATCATAATTAAGGAGTTATTTACGCTTTCAAGCATTATGTAAACCCGTTGCTATTATAAAAAATGTTGGGACTTCGTTATCAGATATTTCCACCCCTTCTTTCCTACCAATTCTTCTGCTCGCCTCCGTGACATCCATCGATCGGCCACATTCGTCGCTCTGCGGAGTTCGCAAAAGCGGGGGTCCCAATATCAAACGTCGCCGGTGCGCCACGGTTCTCGCCAAGAACCCTACATGCTCCTCGCTAAACCCTAACCCTAAGATCCACCGATCTCCCAACCTCGGAGGTATTTGTCTATCCACGGTTATGAAACCTTCGTCTTGCGATTCTGGTTGCTGTTGTTGTTTCCACGAGCGGTCCATCTCCTCGTTATTTTCCGGGTGATTCCCTTTTCCAGGTGCTTCTGTCGGGGTGAATTATCTCGAGTTTTTCAAAACCTAGATTATACCGTAACTAATCTCCTTATGCACTTTAAAAAATGTAGATTTCTCCTTAACGTATTGGGATCTTAAGCTAATTTTACCCGTTCAGAAGAAAGAACAAGGTTAGTGCATAGTGTTGTTCGTGATTCGGTGACCACTGGTCGCTTAATTCGTGATCGATACATTTTAAAGTTGTGATCTTGGATCACGAGGACATGGTACAAGTTCAGCAAATAATTCATGGTGGAAATTTCTCTGATTGTTTCTTTATTTCATGTGCTTTGTTTTGATTTATTCTTGCTTTTCGCCGTCCTATTTTGTCATGTTTCCGGGCCACAACAAAGAATTTGGTGGCCACATTTCCTATCCATCTTTTGAACACGATATATACAAACCTGGGATCCTTTTCTGTTTCTGATTGCTGAGAAAACCAATGTTAGGAGGGATATTTTTGAAGTTTGATGGCAATTTTCTGGATGGCACTAGTAATTATTTTAACCAGTGGAGCACTCAGCAGTCAGCACCTCATTGTTTTACTTCTTATTGATCCTGTACTTGCATTAACATTTTCTTATTATATGCTAAATTCAGACATTAGGTATGGTGGTGAAATGCATTTGATTGGCAGCAAGTAAAATGACTGAAACTGCATCGAGAGACACTTGTCTGACTCAAAAACACCAATGCCCATGCGGAGATGATCAATGCTATATCGATGAAGAAGCCTATGAGGATGACGAATTTACTGAGCAATTTGGGCCTGCAGAACCAAGTTTTCTGCCGGGAATACCCCGGACATTTGGTACTACAAAGATCATTCCCCCTCCATATGTAGGACAGTCATTCCAAAATGATGATGAGGCTCTGGAGTATTATAGCAACTTTGCACGGAACAGTGGTTTCTTGGTCAGGCGAGAACGCTCAAAGGGAAACCCAGAGCACCCACTGGGTGTATATAAGAGGGAACTTGTTTGCCATCGTGCCGGACCTCCTCTGCCCGTTAAATCTGGAGAAGAAAATGCTTCAAAACGCGTGAGAAAGAAGAAGCCATCACGGTGTAGATGTGATGCACAAATGGTCATAAAGAAGAATGTCACAGCTGGTGCAACTCACTGGGTGGTTGTTAATTTTAGTAATGTCCATAACCATGAGTTGTTAGACAGAAACAATTTGCAATTTTCTCCTGGTTATCGCTATATATCAGCGGTTGATCGGGAACGTATATTAGCTCTTGCGAAGGGTGGTTGCAATGTGAATCTTATACTGAGGGCCCTCGAAATGGATAAAGGTGTCAAGCCAGGTGAGTTGACATTTACAGAGAAGGATGTAAAGAACTTCCTTCAGGCTTCAGTGAGTATCAATCCTGAAAATGAAGGATCAGAACTTCTCAAGAGTTGCAAGTTTATGAAAGAAAAAAACCCAGATTTCCGCTATGAGTTTACATCTGTTGAAGCCAACAAACTCGAACACATTGCTTGGTCATATGTGGGTTCAGTTCGTGCATATACAGTATTTGGTGATGTGGTGTTTTTTGACACATCTTATCGCCTTCATGCTTACAACAGGCCCGTTGGGGTTTGGTTTGGTATTGACAACAATGGTTATATCATATTCTTTGGTTGTGCTGTCTTGTTAGATGAGAAACCAGATTCATATAGATGGGCCTTGCAGGTTTGTCTCTCTGTGTTCAGCTCTGTCATTGTAGATGTTGCATCTCTTGTTATGAAAAGTCAATGAAAAAACCTTTATGCCTTAATTTTTCTACATCACCTGATTGTACCTTCATTTAATTATCTTTTAGGCATTTCTTCGCCTCATGGATGGGAAATATCCACAAACAATGCTGACAGATTTTCATATTGGACTGAAAGATGCTGTAATGACCGAATTTCCACACACAAAGCATGCATTTTCTTTGTGGCACATAATGTCTAAGCTGCCTAGTTGGTTTTCTGTCTTATTGGATGCACAATATGAGAAGTTTAAGGCTGAATTCTGTAGAGTACGTGATTTAGAGACTAAGGAGGAATTTGAGCATGAGTGGGACCAGATGGTTACTGAATATGGGCTCAACTCAGATAGACACATCAGCCTACTCTTTGTTCACCGTTCCTACTGGGCTGTACCTTACTTGCGCAGTTGGTTTTTTGGTGGATTATTGGCAACTGGTGATTTGTCAGTTAAGTCATTCTTCAGAGGATTTGTGAACTCACAAACACGGCTCAAAGATTTTGTAGAGCAGGTAATTTTCTTTTGAATCTATAGCTCACTGTTCTTTTTTCACTTTCTTTCTTCCTTTATCAGTTTCTTCGATAACATATGCAGGTTGGTGTTGCAGTTGATTTCCAGAATCAAGCAGGTGAAGAAGCAACCACACGGCAAAACCATCAGAATTTTCAGATTAAAACATGCCTGCCTCTAGAGGAACATGCATCAACTATTCTAACACATTACGCTTTTGAGATGTTTCAGAAAGAAATCATGACATCAACACAATATGCAGTTTTTGAGACATCAAGGGATACTTATCTAGTCCGGCATCACTTGAGTTCTGATGGCGGGCATACAGTGAGCTGTTCGCCTTCTAATGAAGAGGTCAGCTGCAGTTGCAAAGGGTTTGAATGCTCTGGCATATTGTGTTGGCATGTTCTTCGAGTACTATCTTTGAAGAATTGCTTCCTTGTCCCAGAGAAGTACTTGTTACATCGATGGCGTCGGGAAAGTTCATTATTCCCTAAAAGTAGTGGCTACAATTATCGGACCCAAGCGTTGCGGTCGCTTGCCTCTATAATTATTCAAGAATCTTCAATAACAAAAGATCGTTTCGAGTATGTGCAGTGGCATCTGAGCCGGCTTCTCAACCATATAAGGGACATGCCAGCAGCTGATGAAGCTACCTTAGATCTGGAGCTGAGCTCAACATTTGATGCTACAGTCGATGTAGTTCCTGCAAGGACAGTTACTAGAGGAAGACCAAGAAAATTGAAAGGATTGACAAAAACAGCCAAGGAAATGCAAGCAATGTGATAGGAGGTGGTTTCGATCAGATGACTCTGTAAAAAAGATCCCTGAAGCATGATGTGAAACCCCATTCAGAGGATACATAAATGACCTCCATTCTCTGAAGAAAACTTAGAATTTATGATTTGCTTGGTTTCTTAATAGCAGTCTTCGATACCGCTAAAGAATTTCTTGTAAATGTATAAAAAATGCTCTTGTAGAACTTGAGGTTGTTTTCAAGAGATGAAACTGGTCATGTTTCAACTCGGGATTGTACAAAACAAACTCATTATACATTTGTCTTACTTGTTTAGATGGACAGAGCTGCTTAGCTTGAGCAGGTCCACATGTCAAGTTGTTGAAGTCTAGTTGCAAGAAAAACTGTGGATGTTAATTCGCTAGAGCTCCTCTTGAAAAGAGAAGCAATTTGGAATTCTTTGACAATGCTTTTGTCTAGTCTCTCTTTGTTCATTCCTCTTGCCCGTTCAGACGGAAGAGAATCACTTCCATTGCCCGAGTACAGAATGCAGAGATAAAAGGCAATCGAATACAGAGCAAATATATCCATTAAGTGGAGGGAGGATCCTCTCCAAGTTCACCTTTAATTCACATCATCCATATCCCACATCTCAGCCACTCATGCACCGAAGTCCTCTTGCTGTCATGTGTCGAAAACATTTATGGTTTTGGATCAATCGGAGAGGATCCCAACCCAACACATCTACGCACAAGAACCATGATGGGTGTGGGATTCATGCTGGCTGACACCAATGGAAGGCTATGGATGAGAGATCCATGCCACCTATCCCTAGAGAGAGAGAGAGAGAGAGACTATTCCGATGATTGAGGTGGGGGCCACGGGGAAGTTTGCTAGATGAGTGGTCCCAATCTGAGAGCAAGGTGACGCTTGGGTGGTGGGATCTTGTGTTGATGACCCTCACTCTCACTCACTCTCACGGAGGATCAGAAAATGGAAAAAAGAAAAAGGAAATTTTAGTAATTATCTACCTCAACTTTTCAATACAGAGGAAAAAGACAAAACAAAGAAGAGCCTCTCGTTTAATTTCCTCTCAGGTGGTCCAGAAAAAGATTAGTCATATAAAATCATTGTTTAAAATAATAAAAACAGACGAAAATATGTGATTCTGTAACACTATTCATTTTATTATTGTAGCAATTTTAGTTGTCACAATAAGAATCTTGATTATGCCTCGTATCCATTTCTTCCAGGGACGCCAAGGGACTCTCTCGGTCTCTCTCCCTCTCTCTCGTCTCAATCCCACACCTCAAGGTTCTTTTTTCTTGGTCCCTTCTAACTTCTTTCTATTGCTCTTCTTTTTTGATTTTATTCCCTCGGCAGTCCTCGTCTTGCCTCTCATGCTGTATTCTGCTACAGTCTCCATGATTCCTTCAATAAAAAAGGTTTTTAATTTGGTTTCCTTTCTCTCTGTTATCATTACTCCTCCTTTCCTAATAAAAATCATTTTTTTATGAGTTTATTGGGTTCTATGGCTGTTGGTATGCGTTGATTATTGATTTTAGGCTTCGATATTTAACTTTGCATGTCCTCATTTGTAGATTTGGCTTCCAAAATTGGCGACGATCTTAGGGTCATAGAGCGGTCGGTTTCCAAAATCTGATGGTCGGAGAAGGTCTTGTTTGATGGTTAATTCTGTCGATAGGCGAAGCCTCGGCGGCGGAGGTTGGTGGAATAAGTCATCTCTTTGTGCCATTCCGATTCTGTTCATGCAGGTTGGCACGAAAACTCTTGATTTCTTGTGATTTTGTGTTCGAACAGATAGAAGCGGTTGACTTTTTTTGCAACGGCTGTTGATTGTGGTCGGTTCGATCTCAAATATTTGATTTTAAAAAAATCGAAGAAAAGGCAGCTATTACCTTTATTGGTGGTGATCGAGAAATGGAGGTCGAGTGCAAGACCGTAATGACTCGAGAGGACTGCATGCACTTGGTGCAGGAGAGGCAACCGGAGAAGGATTTTGATGAAAATGGGGGACTTAGGGCTGTGCATGATGGCGACGAGGGTGAAAAGGTGGACGGAAGTAATGTTGTGTTACTGCCTCTCCCAGCTGACGATCATCGAATCTCCAAAGATTATGCCTGTGATGGCATGAAGGTCGGATCAAGGGCCTCCAACCCCCTGGAGGAATTGGCCGTCCAGACGAAAGAACAGGGTAAAAACAAGCAAGGGAAGAAGCTTAGTAGGCGCGATCGGATGGAGCTGGGTCGCTTGTTTCAGGAGGCAGTGAGCTCTCATGATTGGGAGCTTGCCGAGAGTCTGGTTCTGCTGGCCGATTCACAAACTCTCAATGATGTGCTTTGTATAGCGTTGGACGCTATATGGTTCTTGACTACATGGGGAGAACTCAATGGCATTACGGGACTGATTAAGAAGATTGTTAGCTATGGAGGAAGTGATTTCACAAGGGCAATCCTTAGGACATCCTTCTTTGCTTCATGTGTCTATGCCTGTCATTGCAGAATCATGAATTTGACTGATACAGTGGGCATCATGGCCCAAAGGTGAGCTTCCTATATTCTCAGATCAATTCTTGCACATTAGGATTCTTGATTCTTCTGGTTTTCTGTGTGTGACATCACAGGTTACGTCTGTAGAATGTGGAGGGGCTGAATGATCAATTGGGGTCATTGTATATTCACTATTTTGAAGTTGAGTAGCATGTGGAATTTAGTTCTCTATGAATTTGAGTCCTTTTTTTTGCCTTGATGTTAGGTTGCATGAACGATTACAAGAATGTCATGGAGATGAGGTTCTGAAGGCAGAGGCTGGTATGAAAGTTCAGAAATTCACAGATTGGGCCCTTAAATGCATCGGATTTCACTTTCGTTACCAGGAGAATCGAGGAGGAAGAAAGAACAACATGATTGTTGAAGTACAACTTCAGTTGTCAGCTTTCAAGACATTTTTGGAACTTGCTGGTGACCATCTTACAGGAAAGGACTTTACTGAGGCTTTCGATGCAGCTTGCTTCCCTCTTACCCTCTTCTCTAGCTCTTTTGATTCTGGTTGGGCACTAGGAATCTCTGCAATTGCTGTCCAAGGATTATTGGGGATGCTGGTGGAGGGTGGTGCAGACAATGTAAACCAGTGCTTTCTGGAAGCTTCAAGATTTGGGAGTACAGAGCTTGTGCGGATTTTACTGCAGGTAACTAATATACTTTTATTTACAGTAAAAAAAAAATGCATTTATGCATAATTTATTACCTTCTACATATGCTATTTATCAAAAATAGTAATAAGTTTGCTTTATAATGTTTCTTTTCTCAGTTTCCTTTATAATGTTACTAGATTAATCGTTGGCAACATAAAAATTGAAGATAAATGCATTCATGTGCTACCATATTGTTAGTTAACATTGTTGGAACATAAGATGATAAATGGCTGATCCTTGTCACATGCATAAACTTAAGTTCTAGATGGGCAGCACCCCAATTAACATGGAACCAGAGTTGCAATGAAATGCTGAAGTCATGAGGCCCTTACTGTATACATGATTCAATTTGAATTATCAGGTTTGAGCCATTTAGCCAGCCTGTATGTGGGGTTGATTGTTAGAATTTCATTAATTAAATTTGCAATATCTACTAGATTATGCTTATAAATGAGTTTGTGGCAGGCAAAATTAACATGTTGGAGGCTTGAGTCTTAAATATAATGTTGGACCCTTCCTAACAGGTTCATTTTTTACTTTAGAAATGGGACATTGATACTCTAAGAGAGCAACTTTACTTTAGAAAACTTGGCTAAGTTACATATGCGAAATACCTAAGAATACAATATTAGGACACTCGACTTTAAGCTTCTTTTGACCTCTCTAAATTGAGTTAAAACCGTATGGGGAATTTAACTTCCCTTGAGCAATATGACTATACCAATCAATTTTAATACTGGTAGAAAATGCAACTAGGCATTTCATTATGGAGGGTGACGATTACAGTTTGTCTTTGCTATGCTTGCTGCTTTTCTAGGGTGTTTGGTGCATTAGCATTTATGATGAAACATCTTAAAAACTTTTTTATTTATTGTGATGCTTTATTTTCTACAAATAATTTCATTTAAGTAAAAGAACATGTTGTTAGGATGGAGCATGAAAATTATGGCCCATTCAGTTGCTTAGTCTTTTTTAGGGGCATTTGTTTTGAAGTCTCAAATTTTGTTTGACTGCTATGAGATGCCACTAAAGAAGAAAACTGGCAAGTTAATGCTTTAAGTTTTTTCCTTTTTCACTTTAGAGGCCAACTCTTCAAATATTTCCTGGTTTGTTATAGAAGCTGATGGTGAGAGGGAACACCATGACTGGATATTTATGAGTTGAGCTATATTACTCATCACAAAATGAGATATATATTTCCTATTCAAATGCTTAAATACTTCAAATATTTTTTAAGAGCAGTGTCTAGTGGTTAATGCTTTTCATTCTCTTCCTTTTTTACCGGTTTAGATCCTGTAATAGTGTTTTGTGATAGGGAATCTACCTTCAGTCGACAAGTTGGTGTCATTTAGGAAGGCGATATTCCCCAACCATTAAAGGCAGGACACTATCATTGGATGAAAAAGAAGACGAAAGCTCATCTCGAGGGCATCACAAGACAAGCAAAAAAACCCTATGACAAGATCGAAAGGGCGCTGACTGGGTCGAGGAACTTGCAGGTCAAACTCGACCGAGATAAAATTACCTAGTTCTCAAGCGATCTAAGAGAGGTGCGCCTAATCACCAAATTGTAGTCATGAGAACTCCTCATGGACTACAAGTCCCGAAGACCCCTTAGGTTCACAGGAGAGGCCCCTTCCAATGAAGAGGACCCAATCTCCTCCGCCCTTACTGTCCAAAGATGGAGCACAAACCTCGACCGACTAACAGCTAGAGGATCGGGAAGAACTTGTACGAGAGAGGAGAGACATCCCGACCTGAGACAGAAGAGCAGAATTGACGCCAAGAGAAGGACTCGAAGACTAACCCGCCTTACCGGGAATCGGGGCGATGGGGGAGACACTCCTAAGAAGGCCTTGGGGGCGAGGCCGAGAGCTCCCGAGGCTCCAAAGACTATGGACTCTAAGGGCTCAGATAGAGGAACGAATGCCACCCTATGGGAGGAGAGGATTTATAAGGAGATCGGTATCTCTCCTCCCACGATCAAAATAAGTGTCCCTTCAAGGGCAAATCCTAAGAGGCCTACCGCGATAAGAAGGTCCGAGACCTGCCACGACACTGAGAGGACTTCAAATCCGCCACAGTGAACGAGAACCCGAAATTTTGCCATGGCGAAAGGGGACTTGAAATCCACCATGGCGAAGGGAGAATTTGAAGCCCCCTACAACGGGAAGATCCGAAATCCACCACAGCGAAAGCATAAGGCCAAATGCACCCGAGGCGTGCGAGTTGGGAAACCCGACCCGGGCCAAGGTATATCTGCCACGATAGAGGCACAAGGGCAAATACACCCGAGGCATGTAAGTCAGGAAACCCGACTCGTGCCAAGGTATATCTTCTACAATAGAGGTGTAGGGCCAAATGCACCCGAAGCATGTGAGTTGGGAAACCCAACTTGCACCAAGATATATCCGTCGTAGTAGAGACACAAGGCCAAATTCGCCCGTGATGCGAGTCGGAAAAATCTAACCCATGTGAAGAGATCCACTACGGCAGAGTAGTAGGGCCAAATGCATCTGAGGCATGTGAGTTGGAAAACATGACCTACGCCAAGGTATATTTGCCAGGCGAAGGTGTAGGGCCAAATGCGCACGAGGTGTGTGCCGGGAAACACGACTTAAGCTAAGGTATATCATTCATGGCGGAGAAGCAAGGCCAAATGTGCTCGAGGCGTGTGAGATGGGAAACCCAACCCACACCAAGGTATATCCGTCACAGCGGAGGCACAAGGCCAAATGCGCCCGAGAAGTGTGAGTTGGGAAAACCCGACCCACGTGAAGAGCTCCACTACGACGGAGGCATAGGGCCAAATGTGCCCAAGGCGTGTGAGTCGGGAAACCTAACCGCCGCCGAGGTAAATCCGTCATGGCAAAATGCACAAGGCAAAATGCGCCTGAGACGTGTGAATCAAGAAACCCAACCGACGCTAAGATAAATCCGTTACGGTAGAGATGCAGAGCAAAATGTGTTCGAGACGCATAAGTCAGGAATCCGATCCACGCTAAAAGGAATCCGCTATGGCAAAAACATAGGCCCAACGTGCCCAAGACACTTGAATCGGGAAAACCCGACCCGCAGAATAAGATCTCGAATGCTCCAATGTCGGATAAACTAAACAACGTGCTTCAAACCACTCTCGCAAGATCCTCGAAGCAGAATAGTTTATAGGAATTTTCCTTGAAACCCATGAATCTAGATTCATAGCTCAAACAAGGAATACATAATTTACTAAATCGACTGGAAAATGTGATTGAACAATACTAAACATTGATTACCTGGATTCATGTTTCTGAATCTTGACAGAAATGAGAGAATAAATTGTTTGCAAATAGATACCAAAAAGGACAAATGATAAGGTGTAAAGAAGAAAGACAGAAGCATCAATCCCTCATGCATGTAAATAACATTATGATTTCTAGTCAAGAACTGTGATGTATTTCAGAGATTTGAAATTATGGATTGTCAAGAAACATGATGCTCGGACTTATAATCATGCAACAAAATGTTATACAAGGGGATACAGAAGAAAAAGAAGATAATCATATTTATGGATGATTGACTACTGAAAACTTAGAAACCGCAAATTAGGTCGTTATCTATTCAATATCTGATTTTTCTGTATGTAGTCTCTAACAAGGGAGTTTTAAAGAGTGGCATGCACTCATAATTTGTATAACCCAAACTTTTTGTTGTATACAAGATGGTTAGGATCTGCTTTCTTCAACTTTTACCAAAGGGCCTTTTTTTTTTCTTTTTTTTTTTCTTTCGTAAGTGCATCCACCTTATCAGTTTTTGGGTTTCATCAGCCAGAATTACACATTCATTAACGTTTTCCAAAATGTTGAGATTTATGTTTTGAATTATGTGTCTACCCGAAATCGTAGTAACTTGCCTCTTTGGAGCTATTGTTTTTTGGGTATCTAGGCTTATATATAGCACCATGCATTTCCATTGTCGACTCCTTAAGGAATTTAATAACTTTCTCTGGATGGCTGCTTCTTTGACAGATCATCAAGACCGATCACCATTCCTATTGATCTCAGTTCAATCTGGCTGATACCACCAACCATTTATGGTGCTTTTACTAGTAATCAGTGAATCAGGATAATTTCTAGCCATTTTGTTTTTTGTTCATTTCACTTGAGATACAATTTTCTTATTTATGTGCTAACTGTCAAACATCGATTTGTCCAATGTTAAAAGTAACAATACTGTTGAACCAGCAGTTCTACTACATTAAGTAGTAAATCTTCCATAATATACCTTCAGCTCTTTAGCTCCATTTATCCAGAATCATGCAACAAATTCTTGGACATGTATGCGATGCTATCATATTTATCCTCTCTTAAATTTGCTGTTTTTTTATCCAGATCGCTGAGAGGAATAGCTTGGATATTGATGTCGATCTCGCCCTTGTATTTGCCTCCCACTACTGTAAAATTGGAACCATGGAGTGCTTGGTTGATGAGGGCCATGCTGTTGACTTCCTGGGACCTCTGGTGCGAGCATCTGAGAGGGGCTGCATGCAGGTTGTCCAATGGTTTGTTAACAGGGGATGTGGAGACATGGAGCTCTGCCTTGCCCTTACTGCAGCCACCTCTAGCAGCCAAGTGGGTGTTTCTGCTTACCTTCTCCCACACATTCCACAACATGTGCTTGCTGCTCTGAGCATCGAGATCCTAAAGGCCGCAGGTGAACGAAGCAGGGGATCACTTGACGGTGTCGCTTTTCTTCTCTGCAGTGACTTCCTTGGTGACCCTGCCGCAACATATGCTGTGGCTGACAGCATCGCAAGGTCAAATGATGAGGCTGTAGCACCCGAGTTGAGGGCTTTTCTTCTGGAACAGTGGTCCGAAGCTGCATTTGCCGAAGGCTTGAGTTCTGGACAGGATCACTTTGTGAATTTCATGAGGATTCTGAGAAGGGGCTGTTCACCCATCTGTCTAATGGACCTCCCACCACCCCTGGCAGCCACCATTGCATATATGCCTCTGTATAGGGAGTGCATGGAGGCAGGCGGACAGTTGCTATCGCAGAAACTGAGAGGCCAGCTCGTGGAAGCCGCCCGTAGGATTGGTGGCAGATGGGTGGACGACGATAGCCAGGCAAACGAGCTTCTAGAAATTTTGGAGCGTAACCTGCCACGTTTCTTTTTGCAGCCATTGACGACTCTCTGAGCCCTTTTTATGCAGTTCATCTACATATCCATGATTCAAGGAGCAGCTGACGAGGTTTAGTTGGTTCCTTTGATCTACAGATTATTAACACTACTATCCGGTGTCTGTGTTGAGAGCAACAGGGATGGATACCAAAGATCTTGCAGCTGCCGACATCAAATGTTAGTTGAAGTTTACCTCGATCATCCTCATTCAGAGGTCTCGATAGTGTCACATGCCTGTATCTGACATACATGGTGAGCTCCCACCATTCGAGATGCAGTTAGTTACCTTTAAGATTTGCTATCGAGCTGGGATCTGAATAAGCTGTTCGCAATGGCATTGCTTCAACTGGTATAGATTTTGTGAGTTGGTTAGCATCTTGTTCACAATGCCTTCCTCGTTACTTTCGATTACTACGGCACTATCGGATCCTTTGAAAAACATATCTCAATCACTATATTTTTTGGTTTCAATGCCTTATCTGTTGATGCTTCCGTTCAGGTTTACTATGGTTAGCATTGTTACATTAAGAAGCTTGCATGGCCAGATATGCTGCCCCCATACCCTACATTAGCATGAATAGAGGGCATTGGCATGAAACATATATTGTGAAATGGATCATGAAGCCTGGAAACGAATGCATTTGCGACTCGCAAGAACTCATAATCGAACCAAATGAATTGTTTAAAAGGTGATTAAAGATCTACAATGAGAGCAGCAAGAAATGGTGATTAAAGATGTACAATTTCTGCACCACTGATACAGAAAAAGATAAAGAAAACCTCTCTCTCTCTCTCTCGCTCTCTTCATCATAAACAACTAAGCACCAAAATATTCGTCATCCATTTAGTGCATGAAATGCCGTCTTAGTTTTTTTTCTTATCCAAACTCTAGACTTGTATCATGTTATTACGGCTTCTTTGAGCTATCTGATAGAAGATCATGATAGATTTCATATCATGTTAAGTTTTTTCTTATCCAAAATGTAGACTTGTACCTTGTTATTACAGTTTTTGAGTTGGAGCTATATGATAGAAGATCATGATAGAGACACATAATGACATTCTTGTATCCCTTACATTCTCAATCAATCACAAATTTGAGCAATTGATCTAATTGCGTATTATGAGTGCTTGATGGAAGGAAATTTCTCTCAAAACTTATATAAATACTCATCACTTAAATAAATAAAATTTAATCCATTCACAACATATTTCTTAATTCTACATGGTATCAGAGCTCCTCTTACATTGAGCAAGACTTTCCCTTCTTTGTTGTCCGGTGACAATAATCTCTCTTCTCTACTGATCTATCACTGTCAATTTCCTCCTCTACTTAGCGGTCCTTCTCCTACACCAGATCTCTCATAGATCAATCAATTTCAATTTCACTATTCTGCTCGACGATCTTTCTCAAACTAAGACATCTTGCTCAACAACTTATTCTCTTCGTCGCCATTACAACGACTTTAGTTGTCGAAGGCCACACTACCCTCGATTGAAGCACCCCTCTTCTCCGCCTTATTGTAACAGTCTTCCCCCCTTTCTCCCTACGCTAACAGCATCTTTCTCCTTCTTCCGTTGGCATCTTCCCTTTCCCTCCCCTATGTTGGTGACTTTCTCTATAGTATCCATTCATGCCCGTGGCTAGCATCTTCTCCCCTTTCACTACGGCCACCCATCAGCTTCCAAACAACCTCTTCCTCCCTTTTCCCCTCCCAATTAACAACAATCAAATAACTAACTCGATTGTCAACAACTCTACAAATCTATTGCTCCTTCGTTGACTTGTTCATCGCCTCCTTATATTTGCTATTGCTCCTCACTATTGCTACTCCTCCTCCTTTAATGACTGCGATCCTCCGATCATGGGTCAACTTCCATTGAGTTCTCTAGCATTGTCAAGAAGAAGCAAGTTGCATAGTAAGAGACCGAGTGCTCCAAATCTCCCATCGCCTCAATCCATCCTTATAGTAGAGCTGACTATGCCCATCACTATTGAACACTTGGCTTGTCTCATCAACAACGATAGATCCTCAACCATTGGCTCTTGTGCCCTCGATCTTTACTAAATCGGTTTTTATTCAGTATGTGTTATCATCTACATCTAAGCTCCGGTTATTATTTCCTCGAGAAATAATAGTTCTCCTCAACATATAATAAGACTTATATTCATCAATGTCACAACTCAAATCACCTTCAAACTATCCAAAGGTGACAACTATACATCTTGGTAAGCACAATTCTCTAATTTCCTTTTTGGATATGATTTATTAGGCTACATCGGTAGCTCCCTTAGTTGTCCACTAGAAAAGATTTAAATACCATGAGAACCCAACCTAATAACAAATCATGATCATAAGTTATGGCTACGACAAGATCGTCTTATTCTATAAGTAATTCAAGCCTCAATTGCTATAGAGAAGTATGGTCAAAGTTACAAACCACCCTTGCCAATCGCTCCCGCACTCGCATGCTAAGTTTTTAATCTATTCTGATGAAAACAACACAAGAGAGAAGCACTATTACTTATTATATGTAAAATATAAAAGTTATTATAGATGACGTGGCTTTAATAGGTCATCCCCTAAGTGATAAAGAAGTCATTGTCCCTACTCTCAATAACCTATGAGATAAATATAAGGAATTGGTAGCAGCAATTCGGGCACAAGATTTACTGATATCATTTGAAGAACTACATGACAGGTTAATTAATCATGAAACATATATAAAAAAAGAAGAAATTATGACATGACCAACTATCACAACTCAATTTAGTCAAAAAATTAAAAGAAAAAGCAATCAAAGCAATAAAATCTTCAACAAATGATCAAACAAGATGCCTCAAACATGGGTGACATGCAAAGCCATCATCATTCATTACACTATTAACCCTTCAATTGTGATGGTAATTTTAATCCAAAAAACTCAAGAAATAATCTACACTACAACTATCAGTAACTCTAGCGTCCCAACAATAATAATCAATAAAAAGTCATCTGCTAACTTAATGATAATATTGGACACACAACAAAAGTTTATCGGTCTCGACCCAAGCTTACTATTATACCCAATTGGCATCAAACAAACATCATGACTACTCTGCTCATCCAAACAATTGAATTATTAACTTTGGTGCTTCTCATCATATTACTTTTGATATGCAGAACTTATCGATCCATAACAACTATGGAGGCAATGAAGACATCATCATTAGTGATGGTAACAAAATTATTATTATTTACACTAGTTCCATAACACTTAATTCAATAACTAATATTTTTACACTCGATGATATTTTACATGCACCTTACATTAAAAGAAACCTTATTTTTATTTTTTTATTTTGTAAATAAAATAATACATCTATTGAGTTATTTTCTTACTTATTTTTTGTAAAGAATTTGAGCATGGGGACATCTTTGGTTTGAGGCTAGAATAAAAATAATATCTTCGAGTGACCCTTTTTTTTACAAATCACCCAGCCAATCACTCTTATTTTAGTTGTTACTTTAATTGATGTGTAGCATCATCACCATCCTTCATTCAATAATAGATATGTTTTGATACTCTCTTCTAGCTTCCAAATCAAGTAGAATTAAAATTCATTGTAATGCTTGCTTTAGTAATAAAAGTCATAAACTATTTTTTAGAATGCCTTATATATCCTACTCTAAATCATCTAAAATTATCTACATCGATGTCTTGGGCCCTATCTTAACCACTTCCTTTGACAATTTTAAATTTTATGTTAATTTCGTAAGTTACTTTATTAAATATATATGGTTATTATTGAACCTTGGATTTTGATGATGAAATCAATTAATGAGTTTATGGACTAATAAGCATTTGAGATAAGTGACGTAGGAGAAATTTTGATCATAGACTTGAACCATCGGAAGGCAAATCGTTGAAGCAGGAGAATCAGACGTCGGGCCAGAGAGCATCATGTCAAAAGTTGGACATCAACCAGAGGATTGGTCAATATGTTGGAGGATGGACTTCATGCCATGAGTTCGGGCATCGAGCCAGAAGGATCGGGTATTGCAACAAGAAGATCGAATGTTATGGGAGGTCAACATGCCAATGGATCGGGCAATACGCCAAAGGAAAAGATCCTGGACAACATGATGAAGGCTTCATGATTGTCATTAGAGTTATTAAGTTTTGATCGAAGTTGTTTATGTTAGGATCGGAGCGGCACTAAGAGGGGGGGGGGGGGGGTGAATTAGTGCAGTGGATTAAAACGTCGGTTTTGAAAAATCTTTCGTACGATAAAAATCGAACTCGGAAGTGCTTAACTTG